GAAGAAGAAGAGAAGAAGAAGAAGAAGAAGAAGAAGAAGAAGAAGAAGAAGAAGAAGAAGAAGAAGAAGAAGAAGAAGAAGAAGAAAAGAAAAGAAGGAAGAAGACAAATGAACTTAAATATAAGACAGAAACAGATTCATAGACATAGAATACAGACTTGTGATTGCCAGAGGGGAGGAGGGTGGGAAGGGACAGACGGGGAGTTTGAAATTTGTAGATACTGACAGGTATATATACAATAGATAAATAAGTTTATACTGTATAGCACAGGGAAATATATACAAGATCTTGTGGTAGCTCATGGTGAAAAAGAATATGAAAATAAATATATGTATATTCATGTATGACTGAAAAATTGTGATCTATGCCAGAAATTGATACAACATTGTAAACTGACTATAACTCAATAAATAAAATAAAATAAAATAAAATTATGCCTGGATAACAAGATGAGAAGAACTTTTTTTTTTCCTTTCTCGTTTCTCAAACATATATAATAGAATTATATTACCTTTCTTAATTGAGAATATAGTCAGTGTACAATGTTGGGTCAATTTCTGGTGTACAGCATAATAGTTCAGTCATATATATATACACTCACACATATATTCATTTTCATATTCTCTTTCATTATAGGTCACTACAAGACATTGAATATAGTTCCCTGTGCTATACAGTATAAACTTGTTATTTATCTATTTTATATATAGTAGTTAGTATCTACAAATCTCTAACTCCCAATTTATCCCTTCCCACCTTTCTTTTTTAAAGTAAGTTTTAGAAGCTTCTCACAGCAGGCATGTTATTTCATCAAACTAATTGTTTTATCTAGTATATTAAGGGTCCATAGAAAAAATTTAGAATTCTGAACAACCCAGTTAGCCAGTTATTCTTAGTCTCTACCAGTTCCTAATCTCAGACTCAAATCTAACAAACTTCCATCATACGGACCTTTAACTTTTGCCTAAAGCCAATTGAAATTCCTTTATGCTCCCATTCTCCCTTATTGCAATGTTGATTATTCTCGACACTCACCTCTTCGAAATCTCCAAAATGAGACATTCATTCCGTTGAATAGAAGCGTTGACCATTGTAGTGTCTGATTTTTCGGAAAGTGGAAAGTCCATTAATAAATAATTACTGAGCACCTGCCATGTTCAAGGCCCTGCTCTACTTTTGGGGAAATAAAGACGTGTACATGTCACACTTATTCTCAAGGGTCTCACAATCTAAGGGGAAGAGAAGTGTGTACCCTTCCATTGGAGGACAGAAAAAAAAAACAGACTAGAAGAAGGATTCACGAGTTCTCAACCCTGGTGGCCTATTGGAATCATCTGGACAACTTTTAATAAATACCAGTGTCCAAGCTCTGCCTGAAGAGCCTGATTTCATTGGCCTGGTGTCTGGTCACTGGTATTTTTTAAAGCTCCCCAGATGGTTATAATGCGTAGGCAGGGCTGAGAACCCTTGAGTTAGGTCTTCCCCTATACACCTAATGGACTGTCTGTGTAGACTAAGAACTGACAAAGAATTATCTAAAACAATTAATTCTGCTTTAAAAATCTATTATTTTTATCAAAAGTTATACAATGTATGCAAATAGTTTAAAGTCAAATGGTATTGAGGCTTATGACTAAAATTGAGCAATCCCTGGTCTCTGTATTCCCTTCCACCTTCTTTTTCTTTTTTCCCTGGGGGGAAGTAATTACATTTATTTACTTATTTATTCTTAATGGAGGTACTGGGGATTGAACCCAGGACCCTGAACATGCTAGGCATGTATTCTACCACTGAGCTACATCCGCCCCATCCCTCCACTTCCGACTCTGTAAATTCTTTTTAGAGAATTCACACATCTCCCATGCTCTAAATGTTAACATGCTGGTATCTTTTGCTTCATCAAAAACTAATTAATTGCTGAACTTTATTTTCACCCACCTAAAAGTATCCTAAAGCCCCCAAGGAGGAAATGTCAGATAATTGGAGCAGCAGGAGGCAGTGGGGAGGGTCTGCTGTTCAATCCAGGAGTAGGACAGCTGGACACTAGGTTCAGACTGGCTGGTTTGGTGGCCTGAGCAGTTCTGAGAGGCAGCTAACAGCACTTTTCCAAGCCCTGCCTGCTCTCTTGACTCTTAAAAGGCTGAAGGGCTTTATGTGAAATTATAGCCAGAAGAATATTTCCACATTTTCTCCTGAATTCATGCCTCTCCAGCATCAATAAGTTTGTCCTAAACCTTTCTAGAAATTAAAAACAGTCTAGAAATCATAATCTTTCCAAATTTAAAAGTCCTTATGGAGAGAAAAGCAGGATTGCATTGATGAGCACAGGATTGGGTTAGTTGTTTCAGGAGCTGACTAGCAAAAGGGAACTTTGATTTTATTTCTAGTATATTTCACATACAGTGGAAAGGATGCATGATAGGAGGGTGTTACTTGGATTCTGCTATGGCAGCAACTGCCTCTCTGGCACAGTTTAGAATGAGTTTGGTGCCATATATATATATTTTTTTAATTCATAGAATGGCTGTAAAAGAAGAGACCAACTTAGGGGGATGATGAACATTTAATTGAGGAAGTCGGCATTTGAATAAGGACTTGACGGACAAGGAAGGATATCAACAGGTAGAAGAGACAGAAAAGGGTTTGAAGGCTGCGAATAGCACAGGCATAGCCAGGGGTCGGAAATATGTACAGGCGGGGTAAGTGGTAGAGCTGCCATCCAGGCTCCCTGTAAACGCTCGGAGTTGGATTGGAAAATTAACACCAAATCATAATGGAAGAGATCAGGCATGTGCAAAGAAAGACCCCACCTACAGACAGATTACTTCCCAGGCCAGCAGCAGAAAGTGTGCAGTTCCCAGCCTAGAGAAACATGTTAACATGTAGTGGGTGCATGTGAACAAAGTATGAAGGTGTTTAGAAGAGCTATGGTCAACCTGGAAACTTCAGAAACTAAAACACTTTCATCCGAGGCAGAGAGTATAGAACAACCAGTCATCCTTACCTTTCTAAATTTGCTTTCTTTTGTAACGCTGACCTATCCAGTCCTGGTGTTGGAAATATCCCTATTTTAGAAATGATTGCAATCGTCTAACATAGCCTGAAGTCTTCACACACTTGAAATGGATTGCCAGCTCCCCTTGCTGCAAAGCTATCCATATGTAACACGGCTTCCTATGTTACTGTTGAATATACCAATTAGCAAAAGCATCCAACCCACTTATTTACTACAATTCAAGTTCTGGGCCTATGAAGCTTGAGACCCATAGTAAGTATGAAGTGCCAACCAAGGGGCCATCCTGGAGTCACGTAGTCAAAGTAAGCAGCCTGGAGGGCATCCTACCCCGAGTCCCCAAGGCTGGGGTGCATTAGAAACACTGGGAGATGGAGGTATAATAAAAGATGCGTTAGGAGAGTACGTCAGGGGGTATCATGGAAAACCTTGAAAATTACTTTGGTTTCAAGACTGCAGGGACTTCCTGAAGATACGTTATTAGCAGGGATGTCACAAAATCAGCTCTGTATTGGAGGAGAACCTCTGTGGTTGACAAGAGAGAAGCTGGACTGGGCCAGGAAAAGTGGAAGCAAGGGACCAATTTAAGTCCCAGGGAAGAGGTGAAGAGGCGTGGGGAAAGGCCAGTGACCCTGCAGATAGACCGAAAGGCCCTGTACCAAGAACCATTTCTGTGGCTCCAGGATATGCTGATTCTGCCTTGATTTCCCCACTTGTAACATGTGAAAAAGCATAGCTGCCACCTGCCTGGGGGAAGGGACTCCTCTCTCTGTCTTTCTTTGTTGTTTGAAATAATTTTCAGGAGGCTGACCTCCTTTCATAAAGCAGGTAGAGGTGTTTAATGGCTTTCGAGGCAAAACGGAGCTTATGAACTTCCTCTGACCGGGCATATTCTGGACTAAGCCCAAACACAATATTCCTCTCCAGGCCTGAAAACTGCTGAATACTGTCTAAAACGATGTGACTGTCCAAAACACCAGAGGCCTGGCTGAACACAACCTTTGTGACTCCATGCGTCTCAAATAATTCCATTGCTCTTAGCAGTGCAAGCTCATAGCGTCCTCTGTCCTCCCCTCTCCTGCACAGAATTGCTATATCTTTGGGCAGATAGCCACATTGGAACAGGTTGTGACACCTTTCCGCCACACGTTTCGCGATTTCTTCTGTGGTCAGGTTTGTCTCTGTCTCACACACCCCAGGCAGAGCCTGGGCACGCATCGCTTCCTCGTAGGCAGCTTCCCTGAACGATGCCAATGTGCCTGGAGACAGGTTGAAGTGGGGATTTTCTTTGATCCTCTTCATTTCTTCTTTCATGACCATCGCTATTTCCAAAGCGCAGTGGGTTCCGTTGGTGACTGTTTTTCGAGGAAACTGAGCAGATGGAGGGGGAAGGCCATTGCTATCTGCATGATGGACTTGGAAAGGGTCCAGAAAAAGCCAGAGAATCCCGTGGTGAAGGTTTTCACTTCCAGTGCCCCTCACCTTTGGGTGGGTGATGCTCCTTGCCTTCACGTACCAGTCACCGTATTTACTGCAGAAATTCTCAGTCTCATCCATCACTATGTGTTTGATCTTTGGGAATTCCCCTCTCATGAAGGTTTTCCGGGTCACAGCATGGCAGGTGGTTTGCTGGCTGTTAAGGATGAAAGAGAAAATAGGCTTTCAGGCATATAAACAAAGGAAGCACCATGCGTGTCTTACTGTCTGGATTGGAATTAGAGGCTCGTTCCCATCTGCAAGCTGAGACGTTGATTCAGTAGCGTCCTGGATCCTACAAAACTGCTCAACTTACAAGTTAACCTGACAGACAGAATACACAAGTGCAAACCCTACTCTTCGGGGTTACCAAGTTAAATCTGCATGTGAAACTTTCGAGATGAACCCGGGTAGGAGATTTTATTATTTCTATTATAATCCATTTCTGCTGCTTAACAATCCCTGAAGATAAATCCCTTGCATCTAAAGGAAATCTCAAAAGTAATTTACACTTGTTGCTACTATTTCTTTCCTCTCTCTTTTTTTTTTTTAGAGCTGGAGAATAGTTACCTAGAAGCGTATCGTAATTTTCATATGCAAAAGAGGTATGCGCTAATACAGATTCCTCTGGAGCAAATCCTATTTCTTGGAGTCCAAAACAAGAAGTCTGTAGATTTCAGTGAGGAAAACATTAAGAGTTTACTGAATTCCATAACATGTCACGAAGGGTAGCAAATGACAGGGCTATGCCTCTATGAAGCTACTACCCTATTTACTTAGCCCAATTTTCCTTTATTGTATGTTTTAGCATACAATACACACACTATATATATTATATATATATAATATATTTATACACACACACCCATGTATATATTAAACAAACTTGGCTGTTTCTTGCCTCCTGTAATTTGGATCCAAGTACTAACACTCATCCCTACAGATTTCCTGACTTTATATATGCAGTCCCTGGGGCTTTACTCCCTATGTCCTGAGTCATTACTATTCATGTTCCTCTATTCCACTTTGGACTCTGCAGACTTCTAGAAGAAAAGCACTGGTTCTTAGCCGTCTCTGCATCCCCCTCACATTAGCAGTTCAAAAGATAGCTTGCTGAATTGAATTTGCCTTTTGACTAGGATACTTTAAAACGTACCTAGGAAGCATGGTAAAGAATGCAGCCCTTAGCACAGTTTACAAGATCCTTCATAGTCTGTCATCTGCCTCCTTTCCAACTTCATCATCTGCCACATACCCACAGCTCTTCACTGCTCCAGGCAGATCTACCATTCCAATGCTCTAACCTCCTTGCCTTTGTGCTTGCTAAGCACTTTGCCTAAAAAGCCCCCATTTTATTCACTTCCCCTAGTGACATCTTAAGAGTGTGCCCAAGGATCTTCACAGAGAAGTATTTGCTGACCAATCTCCAGCCGAAGTTAAGATAAACGTATCCTTGCTATCATACTAATTACATAACACTCCCATTGCTTATTTTTCTCTTTGTCTTTCTTATTGGGTTTTATGGCAAGGTCTTCAATATATTTGTTGCCTCTAACACTAAGTGTACACAGTACCTAGCAGATATACAAATGGTGCTCAAAAAGGTCTGTCACATAAATAAGTCAACCAAACCAAAATGAAAAGCCCTCATTTTCTGGATTGGATAACAATCCATTTCTTTTACTAAACTGAAGCCTGAAGATTTAAATCAGAAGCAAAGTGCATGTTTTCTACAATTATTGACTCAGAACAAGTCAAACAAATAAACATATTTTATAAACGAAATCAAATGGCTTTTAAATTCAAGTTCCTGTTAGGTATAATGTGTAATTGATGGAAATACTCTGTGACTTTAAAGCATTTTTAAGTATCGAGCAAAAAGTATATGTAAAGCAAGACAGGTTCATTTCCACCTTTCTTAAATTTAAAGACCATAGATATTGAAAAAAAAGTTTTTAATTACATCGATTAAAAGTTATACATAGTTGGCTATTTCATAATGAGATGTTTAAGCCTGAACATTGCAAAGTGCCGTTTTACAGCTCAACTACGTGATCCCAAATGTGTTTGTAGTTTGGGCTCTCGCCCTTGCAGCTAAGGCATCGCAAAATCTTAAACTAAAACTGCAAATTACTTGTGTGATACTGTTGAAAAGACTGAGTAAATATTGGTGTATTTAGTTAGTAAAACTCTTACGTCACAAAATCCTTTAAGGAGTCACTTTCACAAACATAGAGGATCTCTTTTGGCTTGCAATGGAACACATCCTTAATTTTCTCTGTGATCTTTATGGCGAGGGCTGTCTTTCTGGTTCCTGGAAGGCAGTGGATGAACAATTCTCGTGTCTCCTGAAGGCTTTCTGAAAGCAGCTCGCACTGCTCTGCTATGAGCAAATTGAAAAATTCACAGCCCAGCTGGTCACTCAGAAGAGATCTAGAGCAGAGCGAGACCACGATGAGGGCCTGCAACAAAGCTTCCATTTCACCCTCATTAGCGAGCCTGTAGGCTTGGGGGTAGTGCACGGGGGTTTCATCAGGTCTACACTGTGTGCTGGGCAGGTGCACCAGCCTCGGGATGACACACACTTTCCCTGTGTAACCACCGACAGTTCCCAGTTTCTGCTTTAACTGATGAGCAGTGTTTCGGGCATACACAAGCCCTCCAACCCACGTGGGGTCTATTAAGATTGTGTAGAGCACCAGGGGGCTGTTCACGGCTACTAGGAGAGCATCACACAGGACATTCTTCTCCTTCCTTAAGCCAACATCACCAGCCCAGCTCCTGGAAAATATTATCACAGTCCCCGGAGAGCAAGGATATATCTGTGTCTTCACTAATTCCTCCAGTCCTTCATGATCTGAGAAGAGCTTCTTACAGAGGGATTCTGGTTTAAATTGTATCTCTTCCTGTGTCACTGAAAAGTCAAAGAATAGAAGTTACTAAAATTTACAAAAGCACATTGTTAGTATTCCTGCATCATCATCATCAGAAGAAATGAGCCTGGCCATGCAACTGTGAGTTTCCTTGTCTGCAAAGAAAGCACCTCCTCTCCGCAGGCCAGGGCTGTGAGGTTCCTATTTCTGGCAGCTCTTATACAGGGGAAGGCAATCAGGGAGGGGTCTTTACAAAACAGCCTTCTAGCATCCTCTCTTCAACCCCAAATGGTCCAGCACTGCTAGGAACGTGTTCCTTCCTGTTAAGGACTTTTGTGTGTGTGTGTGAACGTGATGCTTTCGGGAAACTAAGAACTGTCCTTTTACAATAGTGATTCTTCTTTTAAAAATATATTTTTATTGAAGTACAGTCAGTCTACAATGTTGTGTTAATTTCTAGTGGACAGCATAATACTTCAGTCATATAGGAACATACATATATTCATTTTCATATTCTTTTTAACCATTAGTTGCTACCAGATATTGAATATAGTTCCCTGTGCTATACAGTATAAACTTGTTGTTTATCTATTTTATACATGGTAGTTGGTATCTGCAAATATCAAACCTCCAATTTATCCTTTCCTACCCCCTTCCTCCTCTGATAACCGTAAGTTTGTTTTCTATGTCAGTGATTCTTAACTTGTGGCAATTTTGCCCCCTGGGGATACCTGGCAATATCTGGAAAAATTTTTTTAAATTTCTTTTTATTGAAGCATAATTGATTCACAATGATGTGTTAGTTTCTGACGTATAGCATATAGTGATTCAGTTATACATACATGTATTCTTTTTCATTATAGGTTATTACAGGATATTGAACATAGTTTTCTGCACTATACAGTAAGACCTTATTGTTTATCTGTTTTATATATTGTATGGTGTATCTGCTAATTCCAAATTTATCCCTCCCCCTAGAAATATTCTGATTGTCATAGCTGGAGAGGGGCTACAGGCATCTAGTGCTGCTAAACAGCCTACAATTCTCAGGGCAGCTCCCCTCAACAAAGCATTATCTGATCCAAATGTCAATAGCGTCAAGGTTGAGAAACTCTGCCTTAGGGAGTCCAGGTGACCCCATAGCTCACCTGCTTTTGTACTGGAAAGCTGGGGTGGGGCAGTTCTCTCAAATGTGTTCTCTCATATTTGGAGAACAAAAGCCATGTGTGACTGGGAGCCCGAAAGCACACAGAAGTATAGGGCAGATCTGATGACTGAAAACAGGAGTTCGCCATGTATATGGATTCAGGACTGTTGCGTCTGCTAAACCCTACATTTGACCTTCTCTAAGGGGAAAAACTTGGGCTAATTGCTACCAATTCCTTTCAGCATAATTTTAGAAAACAAATAGTCCCCTCAGCTGAAATCAAGGAGTACCTGGGAAAAAGCGTTGTTGTAGAGCTGTCTTAAAGTCCAGGACTTTGATGGGAAATGATGGGCATCTTAGTGCAGACGAAGCTGGTGAAATCACGTGAAGGCTGTAGTCTGCGGCCAGACCGGAAGGAGCTAAACAAATCCATCGAGAGTTGTTTCAGATGAAGAAAGAAACATTTTTTTTTATTGCTCCTCTATTTGGACAGGTGATGTGTGTGTAATGCCTGAGCTGCTCCCACTCTTTCTATGCCTCAGATGGTTCACGTATGTTAGAAAATCAGGTCTGGGACTCCTGCATCTTCTAAGTCACTTGTGATTCATCTTGGGCAAGTCATTTCACCTCTCTCTCCTGCAAGGGTGAGCAGGTGATCCCTAAGATTCCTTTCAACTCTAGTATTCTGATTCCAGGTCACCGCTAAGAAGAAAAGGCTTCTAGGTGATGGGATGCGGGAGTGTCAGGAAAAAATAAGCACAGTAGTTTTTTTTTTGTATCATTATGTTATTAAAGTCCCCATCCAAAGTTTAGCTGGAATAGAAAATGGTAGGAACTCTAGTTTGGTGTGTATGCACGTGAAGAGTAAACTCAGCAATTTAGGACAAGGGAAAGAATAATTCAATAAAATCGCTCAAGCTTCTTTTATCAAATCTGGACATTACGGATCGTGAAAGCAAATTGATAAACTTCATTCAGCCTGTAAGTCCCTTATGGATTGATCTGAAATCACCAGCGCTGATTCTCATCAAAACTGTAAGGAAGTGAAAACACGAGTCCTTCTCTCCCACCACCATCCCCTCCCCAGCACATCCTTTTGCATCAGTTTTTCTCCACCTGGTGGTGTCCCCAGCCCACTGGTTGAAGGTATTAGCTCCTAATGTTCCTGAAACAATTCAAATTTGTCAACAAGTTTCCCTTGAAAGAATGAGTGGAGAGTCATTCTTAAACAATGTTTCCCTGAAATATCATTTTTAGAGACAGACTATTGATGAATGTTTTAGACTAGAAATATCAGCCTGCAAAACTTTTTCAACAGGCCTTTACAGTGCGTGAAAGAGAACTTTAATGAACTCATGGCTAATGGCATATGTTCCCCCAAAGCAATAGAAATCCAAGCATTTCTTGGCCTCACGGAGTTCATAGTCTGAGTCTTTGTAATAAAAGACTCAGAAAATAACACTTTGATAGGAGAAGGTTTGTAAGTAAAAGCTGCTTTCTATTCTCTTTTCATTCAATTTTAAAATTTTTATTACTTTGTTGCTTGTGTGTTTTTTGGCTTTTTTTGAGGGGGGAGGTAATTAGGTTTATTTATTTATTTTCAAACGGAGGTATGTGCATATGCTAAGCATGCACTCTACCACTGAGCTACACTCTCCCCTCAAAGGCTTTTCTATTCTTTAACTGAGATATCTGACCAAGTGCCCACAGAAGGCAGAGAAGGGGTTCCTCCCTGCTGACTGGGTAATGACTTCTCTTCTGCTTTACCTGATTGAATATCCAGCATCATGGCTACCCACTCTTCAGCCGTCAGCCTGGTGACAGAATTGTCCCTGATGACCCAAGAGTCCGGGGCCTCTGTGAATACTACACAGCAGAAGGGCTCCACACGAACCACACAGACATGACCATACAGGACGTCTTTTTGGTACACGTTTAAGATTTTGGTAGTGCAATTCAGCTTCGGCTTCTCACAGCAGAAGTGGAACGTAGGCAATTTTTCTATGCAATTTCCTATTTCTTTCTTTAATAAGTCAGGGCTCACTTTTTCTTTCTTACATCCAAACACTTCTTTGCTCTCATCATCCACCCCAATGATTAGGTATCCCCCGAGGGTGTTGGCAAATGCAGAAACATAATGAGGCAGCATTTCTTTAATCCGAGGCACAATCTTTTTGGTGGTGAACCTTTTAAACTCGACCTGTGTTGACTCAGTAAAGTTGAGTTTCTCCTTATACATGAGTCTGTCCTTTTTAAAAAATTCTGAGGCAGACATCCTCATGTCTTCCTCTTCCTGAATGTATTTGTCAGGAGCTTTCTGAGACTGCAGCTCCTTCACCCTTGATCTTCCTCTCTGGGCTCTAGACTGCTTCTCTCGGAGAAGCTCTAGGGCACCGCTGGCACTCAGGTTGATAGTGGAAGTCACAGCTCTCTGATATAAATTGGAGTTCAAGCTGCAAATCCTTAGAGGGAGGCTGAAGACATCTGGCCTCCATGACTTCACAAAAATCATGAAATGGTGCCCCTGCTGCATGTAGTCAAGGTATTTCTGTGACCCTGAAGGAAGGAGCTTTTGAAAAGAAGTTTCCAGATCCTGTCCCAGCCCATGGCATCGGTAACTATAGTGTTTATCATTTATCTCTGCTTTGATGATGCCCCCTCCAGAATTTAACAGTGCACACGTAGCTTCGATGATTTTAGAATTCTCAGTTCTCTTCATATACTTGTTGGTCATCTTCTTCCTGCTGTCTTCTCCAAGAGTCACTTTGCCCACTTCTACAATTATCTCAGGGTAGAGCATTTCCGTATCAGCCTTGAGACGCTTCATGTCAGCAACACTTTTGTGCCTCAAACAATAACAGAAAGGGCTCCAATAAAAAATCAGGACAAAAATGTTTCTACGTAAACAAGAATTCCAGAGATTGCAATATTTTCTTCAAAGCTATAAATTAGTAGAGATACATTTTATTGTTGGAAGTACTCTTTGATGTAAGTGTTTTCTGACAACTTTGCCAAGAACTTTGGCCTTTCCTGCATGAATGGGCATCGATAAACTGCTTAGTATTTTACCATACTGGAAAAAATCGTATTGCTGAAATTTTTAGCCACTTTTCTTTAAAATCAGGAAGCACCAACAGTGAGCCCAGATGTAAAGGACATGGGTTGTCACAGGAGCCAAAGCAAGTTATTAGAGAAAACACAGAAGTAATAGTTGACATCAGAAGATGCTCCTATTTATAATTCAAAGGGGAAAGAAAGGAATGCAATAGAGAACAAGGGAGAATAGTTTCGCAGTATATGTGACGTAGATCTGGCTATGAAAACAAACATAAAACCTGGTATTCTTTCTGTTCTATTTTATACATTTTTAAACCCTTTATTCTACTTCTGAAAGAATGTCAGTTGATACCAAATGCAGAAATCTTTTAAGCTCTTCAAACATTCTTCTAAAAGTACATTTCTTCATATACAGTGTGATGCAGAGTTTTCTTCCCTCCTAACAGTTTGCCTGTGCCGTGGGAACCTCTAAGACTTGGGAACGAACATGAGCCTTTGAGACATCATTATTAAACTGTGGCCAACCTCCTTTTGCTTCCCACACCAGACCTAAACTGAGGTTAGCCCCTGGGAAGCAAATGTTTCAGACATGGCCCCCTTAGCTTTTGTTAATTGTAAAATAAAATATTTACTAACCCAAACCGAAATTCTTCCTCTCCAAAAAAGGAACCTATTTCTTCCATGTGATCTCTGCTAGGCAGAGGCCATGTGGGTATTGTTTATACCCACCAAGAGGGAAAAAAGCAGGCCTCCAGCAGGGTGGGCCCCCTCCTCTGCCATTAGTTAACTCTTGGTTGCCTTTTTACTTCCTCCAGGCAAACCAGAATCAACCTGATGAATTGTTTTTTCCTATGTGAGCATCTCCCATAGGCAAATGTAAATACTGGGTTCTTAGAGAAATTTCTAACAAGATTCTCTTCATATCATAGAATCACAGAAGTGTTAGAAGGGACTTTAAAGATCTTCTGGTCCAACCACCTATCTGACTCTTAAATCCTCTCTAAAATATATGCAACTCCCCACAAATTGCTTTCCAGCTTGAACATCTCCAATAACAAGTAACTCACTCTCTCTTAAATTAGTCCCCTTCAATTTTCTCAGAGCTGTTAGAAATGGCTCCCTTATTTTCAGCTACAGTTTGTCCCCCTATAACTTCCACCTGCTGAGACTCACAGAACAAATCTAATTGCCTTTGAACTAGCAGAACTATACTCTCATGACTCCCAAGTCTCACTGATGTTACTTGGATGCTGATAACAACCATGATAGATTCAGAGTTTTCTGAGAGTTTAGCTCCATATGAACATCTACTCCACACATCCCCAAATTTCTCACTTTTTTTCCTTTACAAGTTTCTCCTTAGCGATGACCCAACCGATTCCTGCCCTCAGACATAAACTACACCTAAGATGAGATGAATGAGATTTAATTTTTTTTTTACCTGATGCTCTTGCTTTTCCTCTGGCTGTTTCAGTTCCACATCTGGCTTCGGTCTGAATGTTTGCCTTCTGTCACAGCCCCTGCTGCCCTTTGATAGCAGCCTGGGAGGAGCAGGAACTCTGCCAGACTCCCCTAGTCTTCATAACATTGACCCACTGAGGAAGGCTGATAAGAACCCGAGAAAAGCCTATGACAGGGCAGATTGGCAGGCTAGGGTCTGACCTCTGGGAGTGAATGAAGTAGTAATGGGAGAATTCAGGGGTGTTCAAGTAAGGGGCTAAAGCTAAACTTCTCACCTCTTAAACACTGAGTGTCATTTCCATACGTCATACAAGCACCTCCTGTCCTGGCTAATTTCATTTCAAAGCTCCACATTCATTTTAAGCTGCCCTGTGCATATCCAGTATGAGAAATATTAGCCTATTCTATCACCTTCCAAATCACTTATTCTATTCTATTTTTTTTTTCATACTCTTCCTCTTTTTGGGCACAAGACCCAGCCTAGTGAATATTCATTGCTGACGGCTTAGCTATCCCTGGGTGAGAGGATTATAGATGATTTTTCATCTAATTTCTTTTCCTTTATTTTTTCTTTAGCTTTTCTGTATTTTATACATGGTCTACAGTGAACACCAATTTAAAGAAAATATTTAAATGGAAAAATAAACAGATAAGAGACAGTCATTTGGGGGTGCTGGTTAAACTGGATCAAACTTCTTGTAGTAGGCTGAAAAATGACCATCAATTATTGATGATGATGATGGTGGTGATGATGATGATGATAAAGAAGAACCTGTAAATTTTAAAAATTTTGTTTTCTGTTGAAGTGTAGTTGATTTACAATGTTAGTTTCAGGTGTAGAGCAAAGCGATTCAGTTATACATATACATACACATTTTCTTTCAGATTCTTTTCCATTACGTATTATTACAAGAAATTGAATATAGTTCCCTGTGCTATATAGTAGGTCCTAGTTGTTTATTTCATGTATAGTAATGTGTATCTCTTAATCCCAAACTCCTAATTTATCCCTCCCCTGCCCTTTCCCCTTTGGTAACCAGTTTGTTTTCTATGTCCTTGAGTCAATTTTGGTTTATAAGTAAAATTTGTATCATTTTTTTAGATTCCACATATAAGTGGTACCATATGATATTTATCTTTCTCTAGCTGACTAACTTCACTTAGCGTGATAATCTCTAGGTCCATCCATGTTGCTGCAAATGGCATTATTTCATTCTTTTTTATGGCTGAGTAACATCCCTTTGTGTATGTATATATGTATACCACATCTTTTTTATCCAGTCATCTATCGATGGACATTTAGGTTGTTTCTATGTCTTGGCAATTGTAAATAGTGCTGCTATGAACATTGGGATGCATGTGTAAGAAACGTAAGTGTTAATTTACAAGGAGAAAGGATCTTTGCAGATGTAATTAAGTAGTTGAGATGAGATTATCCTTAAGGGCCTTAAAGCCAATCACAATTGTTCTCATAAGAGAGCAGCAGAAAGAAATTTGATACATACAAAAGAGGAGGAGGCAATGTGACTACAGAGGCAGAGACTGGAGTGATGTGGCCACAAGTGAGGGAATGCCGGCAGGCACTGGAGGCTGAAAGAGGCACAAAGTGGATTCTCCCCTAGAGTCTCTGGAAGGAACACAGCCCTGTTGACACCTTGATTTCTGCCCACTTATGTCAAACTTCCAGCTGTGAGAGAATAAATTTTTGATGTTTTAAGCAACCAGGACTGTGGTAATTTGTTATAACAGCCACAGGAAATTAATGTACTTCCTTCCCTCTAAAGTAACCCATCCAACAACTTTGTGTTTCTACAGAAATGATATTCTTAAATAGGATTCTGGATACCCCTCCTGTCTTTTTTTTTTTTTTTTTTTTAACTGAGGTTACTGTTCCTACGAAGTCCTGCTTTGCTGGCATTACTTTTTGTTCCTGTTTGGCTGAAAAGAGTTTCCAGGAGAGGAGGCAGAATGGATACTATGATGTGTAATCAGCAGAGCAACACAATAAATTGCAAAGGCCTGTTCTCGGCTTCAACTTTAACCCTTTTTCACTCACTTCACTTCCAAATTCAGTCTCACTTTTCGTTCTACCATCTACCTTAATTCTCAGCTTCATGCTTGCACTGAAATCCTTCTTATATTACTTACTTTTAGAAAGATGAAAAGAACCATCATTTACTGGACATGTGCATTTGGGCACAAGGGTCCAAGCTGGGAGCGTGGCACATTACATGGACACTGAGATTCCACGGCCAGTAAGTGGAAGAGCTGGGGTGCAAAGCCAGGTCTGTTTAATACAGATGCCCCTACTCCTTCCACTGCGTTTCTCGTTTGGGATTCTGGGTTGCTTTGGAGTCTCAAAATCAGATAGCTATCTAAGTACCTCCCTTTTTCTTCCCAGTCAACAGGGAGAACATTTTTGGGGCAGGAGAACTAGGAACTGGATTGTTGTTCCCTTCTTATTCTTCTTCAATGCACTATTGGGGACCAAATCAGAAGGAAGGATAATGTGAAAGATATGCAAAGAGAGATTCTCTTCCATCTTCAAAGTTCCTTAGTTAAGTCCCCTGGCTATGAAAAGTAAGCTGTCAGGCCAGGGAGGATCTCACATTTTGGCTCTGATACCTCAAAGCAAATGTCCACGAAATCAGTAGCTTGGACGGTGATTTGCTCTAAGCCTTGGGAAAGTGATGTGAGCATGCTGACAGTTGGCTGAGAACCAGAGCTCCCAATTTACTTAAGAAGTTTTTATTCACTAAGCATCTCTGTTTATCAGCAGAGGTAGTTACAGGACAGCGTTGGAGCTCAACAGACACAAACTGCCAAATACCAGCCTCCATCGCATTCTCAGTTCATTCGTAGAGAAGATTTGGCTAGAACAGCAGAGTAGATAGTATAGTGAGCAAGATTGCTGGTTCTACCACACTACCACCTGATTCTGGGTAAGTCTCCCAACTTTTATTCATTCTCTCATTCAGTCAGCTGGGTTTTTTGAGCACTAAGACTGTTGAAACCCTAGCTGTAGAGCTTTTTAGCTTTGAAATCTTGGTTAAGAAAAGCCTCAGATTCCTTCTATGTAGATTGAAGATAATAATAGTGCCTTCTCCATACAGTTCTTGTGAGAATGAAGTGAGATGATATACATAAATAGCTTAGCATGGTGCCTGGCATAGAATGTCAGCTTTCCATTCAGTCATCAATTTCTAAGCACTTACCGTACTCTGAACGTGGTGCTATGCTCTGGGTCTACCTGCCATTTGGGCCATTTAGTGACTGCCTTCTTTGGGCCAGATATGCAAATTTGATGCTCTCAAATTGCCCTCAGAACATGTAAGACATGCATGATTGTAAGACATGCATGATTTTCACCATCTTATAAATGAAGAAACTGAGCTCAGGGGAGTAAAGCTCAAGGTTACACACCTAGTAAATAGTAGGGCTGGGATTTGAACCCCTGTCTACCTGATTCCAAAACCCATTTACGAGCATTCTGCCATGGAGGCTTACTATTAGCCAGAAGAATAAAATACATGTCCTGTTCACAATCTAGAGAGGGAAAACATGTATTAAACAACTCATCGCAATACAACACATACATCAGTGGAGCACTCTGTGTACTATGCATTGTTCTCATTTAATTCTCATAAAAGCTCTATGAGGTAGCTGCTGTTATGATTCCCTTTTTACAGATAGGGAAAAGGAGGAACAGAGAATTTATAGTGCTTGCAAATACTGTAGTCCATATGCATGACCACTACACTCTAGTGCCATTCTGGAGAGCTAGAAACATGTGAAAAGTGTGCTCATGGTGTTCTGAGGAATGACAATAACTGTGCTTGTGAGTAAGTTTTCATAAATGAGGTGGTCTATGAGCTGAAGCCTGCAAGTAAGAATGAAGCAGGTTGAGAAAGGGAACTGGAGAAGAAAGAGGAAAACCAGGCAGATGAAACAGCATTGCGAAGGCCCATTCCCCTCACTGTCTATCTAACCCCTCCTATCCTTAAAGTACAATGGAGGCCTTTAGAGGGTCTGGTACAGAAGACGTTTCATTTTTCTCCATTCTTCCCTTTTATTTCCTAATGTCCTTCTACCCATCCCTATCTGACACTCATCACATTCCTCCTGCTGCCTTTCATATGCACCTCTCCATTTCTTATTAGCTCTCCCCTGGACCACTGCAATCTCTTGCAAGAGTTTCCCCTTCTTTCACTCTGTCTTCCTTCAATCTATTTAAAGACACAGCTGCACATTGAGTTTTCACCTCTGATCAGTCTTATCTCCTCAGACTCTGAAATCTTGAATTCTCCCACTTCTTCCAGAGTAGTCTAAACTACATGGCCAGCAAGCACCATCTTTAACAAAGTCTTGCCCTGTCTTTCAAATCTCCTACCACCCCCTTTCTCTAACACTAACACTGGTCCGCAAACTTTGGTGGTAACAGGATCTCCCTTGGGGCACTTATTAAAAATATGCATGCCTGGGCTCCAACTCCAGATTCAACCTTACTGATTCTGTAGTCTGGATTGTAGAGTTTTGTTTTTGATGCTGGAGCGCATCTACATCGATAAGTTTCCTCCTGGTTTTTCTAACTCACTGAATTTTTAGAAACACTACACTGTTTCAACTTTACTTAAATTTGGTAAGCTCCCCTATGCTTTCTCATTTAATTTGGTAATTAATTTATTTTCTCCCAGAAACTTCTAACTCTCAAATCCCACCCATTTTTCAAGACCCATATCAAATGCCACCTCTCCCAGGAAGTCTTTCCTGCTCTCTTTTGCAGTTCTTAAGTATTTAGCTGCACTTTTCTTGTGGCACCTCTTGCTTATTTAGGAAGCGTCCAAGCCCCCAGCAGCCAATGAGTTTCCTCTTGGACGAGGAGGGAGGGACACATTCTTCAAACTACCCCATTCTCTAGCCTGCAGGCGAGAATCCAGCAGAAGCGCAATAAATACTATTGGATCCGTGTTTGAATCGGCAGTTCCTCCCAGAAACCCAGGGCGCACACACTCTACGACCCTGCCTCAGATGCCCTTCCCCAGTTGTGAAACAAAGCACTGGCAAAACCACTCCAGGTAACAGCCTTCCCGACATCCAAGAGCAGGCACTCCGAGTGCGTGCTGGAACTGTCCAGACCGTAGCTTTTAACGCTGAGGATGGAGCCCGCCACGCAAAGAAGCGAGGGAGAAGGCGCTGGCGTCAGCCTGCCCGCTCCCCCGCTGACGTTTGCCTCGCCCTCCGATTGGCTGTTCCTTGCACCAGCCCCGCCTCAAGACTGGGGCCCACGTGATCCTCTAGCCGCTGCGCGATTGGTTGTCCCGCTCCAGCCGCTCAGGACGGTGGGATACCGGCGGGGCAGCAACACTGAGGCGGGTGGGAACTCGAAAGCTGGTGCTTCCTGGCGCTGAACTGCTGAGAGAGAGTTGGCTGCCGTCAGCTTCTGCAGGCCGGGCCTGGCTTCCTGAGAATCTAAGGCGTAAGAATTGGGGGGGGGGTTAGAAAGCGGGCTGCGGACCCCCTTCCTGAGGCTTTGGTTTGAGCCCTGGCTCAGGCCTTGCTTGTGTTTCCCCACGAGGACGGCTTCTCAGTCTTTCCTGAAGTTGGTGGGGTTTGGACATTGTTGTTCTTAGTAGTAGTAGTATTCGTAGTAGTAGTGGTGTTATTATTGTTATTATTATTTTGAGGGTCCACTGTGTATAAGTATTGGTGCTTCTGCTCAGGGGGCCGTGCAAAACGCCATGAGTTAGAAGCTGGGGGAAGGAGGGCTTAGAGATGCTTGAGGTACGTTCTTAAGAAATATTGGAGGTAAGTCGGCTTTATAAATTTGTGCATATGTTTTTATATTTTAGGAGTTTAGGGTTTAGTAGGGTGGGTCGCTCCTTGACTGAATTAAACGTTCGTTTATTGAGCCTCCTGTACTAGGCACCGTTCTGAGCGTAATAGACGCAAAGGCCAGTAAGACACAGTCCTGGTTCTTTAGGAGCTCAGTGTGATGGGCTGGTGGGAGAGACGGGGAAATGGGGGACGTGAATGGGTGAATAATTGGCGTGTGATGCGTACTGTCTTGGGAAAAAGTGCTGTGGGAGATAGGAGGGGATGACGGAAGGAGTTAGGAACCACTTAACAGAGATGGTGACATTTGAGTAAGATTTTAGAACTGTAATTAGGCGTTCTGCAAATTGAAAGCGGGTAGGGAAAGCCCTCCAGATGGAGCAAAGTGGAGGAAGAGAACTAGGAAGGTGTGCCCCTGTGTGTGGCTGGAGTACACATGAAGCTCTGCTCACAAGTTTTATGCTTTTTAGACAGAGTTATTAAAATTAAGTTCTCAGCCTGTTTGCTCATTTTTAAGGTGCACTTACTTCACCTTTAGAGGTCGATGAGATAAAGGCTTGAGCATAGCTTCTTAAACAGACACTGTGTTAGTTGTCCTCTCTTCCTGGCGTTTAGTTACTGAATGGAGAACGCAGACCACGACTGTGGCTGTCAGTTTTTAACTATGGAATGTCTAGTGACATTTAAAAAAGGCTGAAGGAAGCGTGTTGTATTTCTCCAGAAGTGTTATTTAGATACTGACAATACTATGCTGAAAGGCTTGAGAGGGTGACATTGTTTGTGATCCTAGTATGTTAGCATAGCATATCAGCCATAATGTACCATGAGAAGGTGCCATTTAGAATAAATGAAATGCAGTCAGCTTTCTCATTCAGAAATTGATTATCCAGGTTGTGAATTACCCAGGCTTTGCATTGTTTCCTTCATCTCACCCATGGCCTGGAGAAAAATGAAGTTAAACTTTGTATTTAGCTGATAGTGGGAAAATATAAATCTGGTCATCAGACCTCAATTTCTCTTTCCAACTGTGCTGTTAATTTGCTATGGACTTTTGTCAAATCATAGCCTCCTCGGGCCTTGGACTCTTGAGAAGACTTGTATAAAATTTTTATGACTGTACTTTTCAATTTTGTTGGCAGCAGAGTTATATATCAAACTGTATATTAAATAAACTGGACTTTCCTTTATACAGGAATTTAGTAGAAAATCTTTTTCTAAAACTTGCTTTAGAATTCGACTATAAGTCCCTTCACAGGCATCCCTGTTTTTATCATATATGGTGTTTGGGCTCAATAAAAAGAAGACATGTTTTTGAACTGTACATACTTCTCCACATTACTCTGTACTTTGAAACAAAAAAGCACCCCCCCAAAAAAACTTGTTCAAGTTTGCGTTTTTTGTACAACACAATTGTTTAAGGTACATAGTGGAAGATCAAGTATTGAAAGCCTATGGTTGAAACTTAATCTAAAAGAAGCCTTTATTTTTTTCATGGGTAAACCTAAGTCTTCTTGGATGTCAAAATAGGGTGTTGAGCTGCTCTTAGATCATACAGGGAGCTGAAGTGCAGTGATGCGATGATGAGTGAAGTATAGTCTGACCTGGTATTGCCATTGCTTCAGTGCTGGCTTTGACCAGGATATGACCCCTTAATCTTCTCTCTGAGCTGATTCTGGTTGTGGTTTTTCCACATTGGTATGTTCTAGCCTATTTGGATACTGGTTTTGTTATGTTTAAGAGTGTTTCTTTGATACTCTTTTGAATTACTGATACTTTCATGTTTTCCTTCTTAGGTTGAGGTGAAAAATCTGGCTTTGATATCTTCATGGAAGACTGCGTTATTTCAATCCTGAATCTGGTTCAGTTCCCTTACTGACTTATTACTATATTTAAAAAAAAGTTTGTTTAATTAACTATGGTATTTGTTTTCATAAAACTTTGTGATTAACAAGAATTTTTGTAAATATCCATTATACTTTTCTTATGGCACATAAAAGTGTTAGTATTTAAAAATCTATAGGGTATTGTTTCAAAATTTAGTTTTATCACCTTTGTGTTATCAGAGAAATGTGCTTTGAATTTCTAAAATGAGTTGTATTGGAAAAGACCAATCTCAGCAAATAATGAAAAATTTTCATCCTTCCTCTTCTAATGATTTTTTTTTAAACCCATGTTTTCACCAACCTGCCAATCCAGTGGCTTGCATTTTTCTACATAGGCAACTTAAGTATTTCTGTAGTATTTCTGAAGTAAGATATTTCATGCAAGGCTGAACCGGAGTAGAGGATTTGCTCTTGGAGTAGAGGATTTCTCCGAATATTGGAGTAGCAAAAAAAGCAAAATGTTAATAGAAAATACCTCAAAAAGTCAAAGGTGGTCTGATTGAAAAATTTAAACACTTAACTAATCTTTCCATTTCCACATAGTCATGACAACATGGAACAGCTCTTTGCTAAAAACATTTATTCTCAAAATTTGCTTAAGCGTTTCATAGAAACTTTAGTAATAGCCAGAATAATTCATGCCAGTTTAGCAAACTCTTAACAGCAAGCAGCAAGAGCTTATTAAAAGATCCTTTCTTTATACAGTCATAGTTAGATCAGTATTTTATTTCATCTCTTCATTAATAGCTTTGCTTTCACAGTGGAATCTTCAAACTAGTCTGTGTCTACATTCAATCCCTATTCTCCTTGAACCAGTTTCTGAAGAAAGATATGTATAGTCCACAAAGGATCTTTAAAAGTTCATAAACTATGGCAGATGTTATTTAACAAATGGGTCACAGCATATGGAAGGAGCTGTTGTTTTTCTAAAGCATTTCTAAGTATTTCTATAAAAAGTTTTACACTGTTTGTAAACTGATACAACCTATTCCTTAGAGACAGATAAATGCTTTTTTCCCTAAAGACCTGCCTCTCCTCCACCACCCACTTGATGAGGTCTAATGTAGGTTTTCCTGAGAGCTTCTTTCTATACCCCTTGTCCTTTAAGGAAGGGGACAGGAAAAGCTTCTGTGCTAATTATCCTTTTATCCACTTCCTCTATGCTGACCCTCACATCCCTTGCCAATCCCAGTTCTCTCACTCTGACCAGCTTGGTCAACCCTGAGACGGGGTGTCTAGAGAGCAAGCTAAAAGGTTAAGATCAACGAGTATATCCTTTTAAAGAAATCCAGATAGTTGTTTAAAGTTCATACAATTATTAATTGAGAATTAGAAGTATTAAACAACGCTATGTACCATGTAGAAAACTACCCTGTGGCCTCATAGTGCAATCATTTTGTCATGGGATAAGATGCTAACCCCTTTCAGTTCTCAGGGGAGTACAGCTTAATGAGATGTTGTACTTCTGTTGGGTAACCTGTGATGGGACAAGCTTGGTGGCTCCTCACATAATTAAACACACAGCGATAACAAAACACATAGCCAGAGGTGGCGAGAACAGTGTCGTTCACCCGGTTTTTACGACACAGTGGGCACACAGTCTTCATTTTGGGTAACAGGGGCGAATCAGAACTGTAGTTCAGGTGTACAGGCGGTGGCGGAGTAGGCAGGGCAGTCAATGATTTGATGGTTTCTTGATTTTCAGATGAGTACCACCACTCAAGGAACTGCAGGAAGAATACACCCACAGAGAGGCCCTTAGAGAGGGATAAGGCAGCACCCCCCATGGCTTTCTTCAGAGCTGACTTTATCTTTTCACCAATGCTGCTGGGAGAATAGAACAAGGAGGCAAAAAGGAGAAACTTTATTTAGGTGTAATCACAGAATGACTAAATTAAATGCAGTTCTTATACTTTTCATCAGAATCACTGATTCAGCTTGGGGATTGAAGAGTTGCTGGACTGGCATTGTCTCTTTGAGGATCTGTTCTGAACAGTGCCCTCTCTGACTTAACAGTATTTTAGGAGAATAGGAGCTGAGCTTTGTTTTTAATGACTAGGGTTTTGTTTTGTGTTTTGAGAAAGAAATTAGACATTGATTATATAGACCTTTTTGAGGGGTAAAAGATAGTATATCCAGAAAAAGAAACAACTCACTTAAAAAAATAACTCGACAGTATTGAGGAATGTATTTAAACTTGTAGGAGAACACAAACACTAACTAGAAGCAGGACAGCACTAGTGGTTAAGAGCACAGTCTTTAGAATTGTATTGATCTGGCTCGAATCTCAGCTCTGCCACCTAGCTGTGTGTCTTTGGCAAGGTACTTAACTGTTAGAACTTAGTTTCTTCAACTGTTCACTGCTCATGCATTTATTTCATTGAGTTGTGATGAGGACTGAGACAATGTACATAAACATCTAGCACAGGGCCTGGCACATAGCAAGTGTGCTCAAAAATGCAGTCAGTATGATGAGGACAGTTACTGTTTTTATGGCCACAAGAATTTTCCTATGATTTTATGAAATAAAGTTGACTGAAGGAGGTGAATTTCATAAAATTGGGATAAGAGTTTAGAATCTACTGATCAGAGGTCTTGGAAAAATGTTAAGGCCTCACCTGCTGGCTGGTTGCGGCGTCACGCTGGCTTCGGCTGCCTTGTGCTCCAGAGCCTGTATATCCTGAACTGTAAGTCGACCTAGCCGAACTCCAGCCAGACTCAGCAGTGGTGAGTGATGCTGAGCTTTTCCTAGGATGTATCGAAGTTGTTGTACAAGAAACCAGCCTTCCCAGGCCATGTTAACAAATGGGTAGGCTGCCAGGAAGGCTCTGTAAAATTGTTTCCAGAGGGAAGAAGGGGGATGGATAGAATATTCATCCTCTTCTCTCAGGCTAGAAACCAGTTTCTCCAGCTTCACTTTGAGATAGGGAAGAAGAACCAGGAACATAATTGACTTCCAGAGCTGCTGCTTTGGGAGACCAGCACTGGCCAGTCTCTGAAGTTTCTGTGTGTCTCCCATTACAATCCTCTTTAAGCCATAAAAGTTTTCAGAAAACGAGGCACTGGTTTTAGACAGATAATGCTGCTGGAGCAGAAGATCTAGCAGGGTAAAGATTTCATCGAACCACCTCCAAAAGAAGCTGTAGTGGGCAGGATTTGATTCTGCAAGAACCTAAAGCAAAATAAATCAATAAATGAAATTCATTCCATTACACAGCTGTATTTATAATTCTTGTATTTATAATTTTTTCCCTCTAAATTCTACATTTTGGGCTTAAACAAGTCAATTCTTTTGGGGTCTTCCCTAACCTCCTTGAAATATTCAGCGCACACAATGCTCTACACCTAACAGACTCAATGACCCTTAAATCATAGGATATGAATTACATGCTAATTGGTAGTTTCAAAACCTAGGCCAAGAAATAAATTCAAATTATTGGTTTCGTTTTTACCCAGACATCCCTAAAATTTGTCAGAGAATTAATACCTTACCTTGACCACATGCTGAAGAGCAGGTCTCACTGCTGTCATTAAACTGTCCTGTGCCACCACCTCAAAGATGGATGGCTGGTCATCCACCACAGAAGCAGCTGTGATGTGAGCCCCATGCTCAGCCATAGTTTCCCGTGTGCACTGGGTTTTACTTTGCCCACAAACGCTCCGGCAAGCATAAAGTTTTGGGGGGTATCAAATGGGTGCTCAGCCTTAAAAGTAACCTTTCAGCAGGGTACTCCCTCGATTTTCCGGGAAGTGGGCAAAAATGACCTCTTCTGGAAGAAGAGGAGAGGGGTCTTGTATGAAGGAGGTTAAGACAGAAGTTAACGCGGATGTGAGTGACAGTGGTGTGTGGGAGGCGGTTATTTGATTAATGCTGCACCTCGCAGGGCAGAGCGTGACTGTGGGGCGAAGCAGCGCTGGGGTCTCGAGCGGCCGTCCTGGAGGCCGGCAATAATGGACTCGAAATCGTGAGGGCTCAAAAGCCAGGCAGCTCTGAGGGCTCAGAGGTGCCAGTGCGGGCCGGCCCGCACAGTCCGCCGCAGCCGTAGGCTGTGCAGTCCCCCTGCCCGCGCCCGTCCTTGCGCGCTGACCCCAGGCTACTGGCGAGGGACCCGCGACACCACGTCTGAACGGAGGTCTCCGCTTTATGACAGAAGCCGCACCCGGAAATAGGAAGCGCCAGAAATTGGGAACGGCTGGCGGAGGAGAGGCGCTCTAGCCTCGAACTCCGCCCGAGGCCGGAACTAGAGAACTCTATGATCTCACTGGGACTTCCGCTTCCGCCCCCGCTAAAAGTAAAGACTGCCCTCCGGGGTTCGCTGGTAGGAGGATTTCCTACTCGTAGGTTTTACTTTTTTTAGCTGGTTTTAATTCTCTTAGCTGGTTTTACATCAAAGCCTCGTTGGAAAGCCACAGCTCTGATTTCTATGGAGCTTTTCGGCAAGGTGTTGAGGCCGCCACGCCCACGTCTGGCGCCTGGAGCCAGAGCTCCGCCTGCTGCTGAGGACTTCGTTCTCTGGGGCGATAGAGTTAGGGGCGGAGGGACCCAAGGGACTGTGGAATGGTCGTTTCTCACTGTGGTCGCGGCCGGGGCTGGTGATTCACTATATTCTGTCGCTTTCGAGAAGGATTCGAAGGAGCAGAGCTAGAGATTTAGAAGCCTTAGCTTTATGACCGCCAATTGTTTTTTTAAAAAGATGGTTAGAATGAGAAAAAGTTCCTGCTGTTCCTCGGAATTTGGGACGATTAGTTTTAATTCAAGCTGATAGCTTAACTGTCTTCTAGGTTAGGTTATATTCAACCATAACTGGGCACTTGCTGCACCCGCTGAAAATGGCTCCTACCCTGGTACACGGTTAGGATGTGTCACATTAGCGATATGAATACAGTGCTAAGACGGAGTGATTCTGACGAATTCTAAGTAGCGTGAACTGGGAAGGCTTGACAGAGAAGGTACTTTCCATGATTTGTATACCAAAATTAATATACTTAACCTTACCGTTTGTAAAGTGCTTTCACATATGCAATTGCCTTGTTTGTGTTGCTGCTGTAAGTTTATTGAATTTGTTTACCTCTCTCTCTCATCTCCCTCCTTCTCCTTCCAGTCACCCGCCCCGCCCCGAGCTAAATAGCTAGAAGTAGAGGGTATTAATCACTGCCCTATAGGACCATATGGTATAAAGATAGTTAATTGGTTCACATAATGAGAACGCTGGAAAACAAGGTTTGGATATAGTTGTTTCAATAGGAGAAATAAAATCTTGCAAGTTAACCTTAATTATAGTTCTAAAAAGTGTTTTGTAGTCTACCAAAATACCTGCTGGAGAAAGTCACATTGATACAAGATTTTTACCTTATAGTATTAAGGACTAGAGATAATGTATCTATATAAAGCACCAGGCATTAGGTGCTTAATCAATGCTAGCTACCACATACAGGCAAAAAGAAAAAGTTAAAAAACAGCATCAATTGAGAGGAATGGGAAGTTATACATTTATATCAGTTAGGGTTCTTTGGTTACAAGCAACAGAAAACAGGCTAATTTAAACTGAAAAATTTATGAGAAGAATGTGTAGTAGCTATCGAAATAAGGAAAGCCAGCTCTGAAAGAACAGGAATCACTGTCCTGCCGGATGTTTCTAGCAAGATTTAGCAAAGTCTCATGCAGGCATCATTGTTGCAGTGAATGAACTTCAACAAATTTCTGTCTGTCAATCACTGTATGATTCAAATTCCTATTGACCTACCTTGGTTCAGATATCCTCTCCACTCCGTGTTTCACTCTTAGCCAAAAGAGGGCAAGACACTTTAGTAGTCCTTTGAGAATACTCCAAAAGTAAACTGACATTATTACATGAAAAAAAAAGGAAAGGCAGTCAAAAATAACAATGTCAGTGATTACAGCCAACAAATAATAAACACCTCATCACAGATCCCACTCGGGTTTATGGTGTAATAAATGATTATGTTTATGTTAAAAGCTATTAAGAGCCATTAAATAGGTTAATATGGTGTGAGTTTAGAGAACAAGACAATACCAGCTAGGAGAAATGAGGCATTCAAACTAGCTTAAACAGAAGGCCTATATTGGCTTATGTAACCAAACAAAGCGAAGCACATTTCTAACCTTACGTTTTATCTCAGGTTCTCTGCCAGTTGCTTTCTAATACAATGATGTAACCTGGTATCTCCGGTACCTCATGTCAGGACTAGGTGTTCACTGACAAAGTTTTGTGGATTAGGTGGACCTTGAAAGATGAGTACATTTGAGGAAAGTCGCAGTGATGGTAACAAGGCTTTCCAGATTAAGGGAGCAGTATGGGTTGTACATAAATAGAAACTTGTTTGCTTTAACTATAGAGCCACAGAAAGGGAAAGTAGAGAGTATATTGAAAAGTAGATATAGGTGGATTACAAAGAAGTAATAAAAATAGATGTGGTATCTGCCCTTGTGAAATTTACAGCCTAGTTGGAGAGGAAGATAAGTAAATAAACTCTAATAATAATTTACAAATTGAGTAAGAGGACTGGGATGAGGTAGGAGTTGGGGGCTGGGAGAACAGAACCTTTTAGATTGGGTTATCAGGGTGTGCCTTTGTGAGGAGATTACAATTAAAGTGAGACCTAAATTATGAGCCAGTCAGCCATGTGAGGAATTGGCAGAAATGAACATTAGGCAGGAGGAACGGCAGTTGTGAAGGCCTTAGGATGGGAAAGAGCTTGGTGTCTTTGAGGGCTGCAAAAGCTAGGAAAAGGTGAAATGAGGAAATGAGGAGTGACTGAAATTAGGATAAAATGATATTAGAGACGTAGACGGTCCAAACCATGCAGGGACTCACAGGCCATGGGAAGGAGACTGGATTTTAGTCAAAATGTAATGGGAAGCCATTGAATGATTTATACACCAGAGTCATGATCAAAGTTATATTTTCAAGATGGCCCTGTAATGGTTATGTGATTATGTTTACTTTGTGAAAATTCATGAAGCTTTACATTTATGATGTGTGTACTTTTTGGAATGTTCATTTTACTTCAGAAGTTAAAAATCTGATGGCTGGATGGATAATGGTTGGGGGAAGGGTTGAGGTTTCTAGTAGTTTAGGCAAGAGGTGATGGTGGCTATTGAGGTGAATAGCGGGGGCAGGATGAATTTGAGATTATATTTTGAAGGTAGGGTTGACAACTTGGAGGTGGAATGAATGTGGCAGTTAAGGGAGAGAGAGAAATCAAGAATGACCCCCCTAGATTTCTGGCTTACAATTTTTGGTAATGTAATTTATTGAAATAACTGCAATTATAGGAAATAATTGCATCATCCATACTATGTGCAGGCATAGTTCTAAGTGCTTTGTGTACACTAATTCATTTCATTCTTGTAATAATATTATTATTGGATATTACTATTTCTCCTGTTTTATGGATGAGAAAACAAAAGAGCACAGAGATAAGAAAACTGGGAGAGGGACAGGTTCTGTACAAATGAGGAAATCAGCTGTTGAAAGCTTTTGAACAGGGTACAGGTGGGTAGGAATCAAAGATTTTTCTGGTGGCTTCGTCTTTATGAAATCCACCTCTGTCTTCTGTGAGTTGTACCTGGAACCAGATTTTTTTCAAACACCCCCACCATCCCTTTATGATTTGCTTAGTTTGGGTGGGCCATATGTATAGAATTACCCATCGTTGTGGTTGGCAATTTGGTGGGGGAAGCTTTGGGAACAGGTCAAGGCTAGAGATAGATATTTTGGAGTCATATGGGTAGGAAAAATAATTGAACCCATGTATTGCTAAAGGGATAGTGTAAAGAAAATTTGAGTGTAGAATTTACCTTAAAAAAAAATTCTTGCTACTCTTTCCCTTAGCAGGTATTCTGTGAGAATTGTTCTACATGTAGATGTATTTTTGATGTATTTGGGGAGGAGGTGAGCTCCATGTCCTCCTATTCTGCTGTCTTGAAGCCCCTCTTCTCCCTCAAATACCATCTATATCTCTTCTCTTTTCAGCCATACTTTCTTTTGGAGTTATCTGTTAACTCTTTGAATTTCCTTACCTCTGATTTATCTTTAAACTTTGTAGCATGGCTTTTGCCTTCATTATCTCCACTGATGGTCTCAGCAGTGACATCAGAGACCTTTGTGTTGCTAAGTCCTTGGACACTTTTCAGCCCTTCCTCCTTTTACCTACAGCAACTTTGATTGTTGACCACTCACTGATCCATTTATTCATTCAACACATTTTGAGGAGGGGGCTAGGCCTCAGAGATATAGTATATAGTTCCTGTGACTTCCTAGAACTCTAAAACATCCCAAATCATTATAATCGCCTGCTTTTTCTTCCACTTCTCTTACTATTTCTCAGTCCCCTTTGCATTTTGATTTCTCATCTTCTGGCTCAGGCTCTCACTCTTCCTATGTTTCTTTTTTGTTGTTGTTGTTAAAGACTTTATTATTTGTGCAGTTTTAGGCAGGAAGTTTTAGTTTTGAGGGGAAGGTATAGAGTTTTCTAGGTCTTGGTTTCTGAAAGGAACTTACTTTTGTGTAAGCACACATATTACATGCTAGGCGCTATACCTACTTAATCCATTTTAAGATTCACAAACTCAGGAGAGTTATACCATTGGCTTTATTTCACAGATAAGACTAAGGTTGAGGAGACGTTAAGTAACTTTCCCAGTCACATTCAGAGCAGGGATTCGAACTCAGATCTGATGCAAGGTCGATCCCTTTTCCTTGCACTACTCTCCGCCTGTCCTACTGCGCTTGTATAGTCCTGGGCCAGATCGCCATTGTTAATACTCCTGAACTGGCCAGGGAAATTAGCTTCTCTCTCTCTCTCTCTCTCTCTCTCTCTCCCTCTCCCTCTCCCTCTCTCTCTCTCTCTGTCTCTCTCTCTCTCTCTCTCTCTCTCTCTCTGTCTCTCGTCTCTCTCTCTCTCTCTCTCTCGATATTTCACCCTGTGTGTACGTTTTTAGAGAACTGCGTGATGAAACAGATCCAGAGAATGTCAGCTTATTAATAGATCCCTTCGGATAGTCACTGAACTTCCTAGGAGGCCGGGATCTCAGGTCTTTTCCCGACCACACAAATGTTTTTTCCGTTTCTAAGGCGACAGAGATCGCCGCCTTTCTGGTTCTCCCGCGCGTTTGGATTACGTCACCCGTCGAGGCTCTCTGACGTCAGAGCTTCCAGTTCCACCATCTTTGTCCCTGGCAAAGTGGGTTTTGCGCAGTGGCTTAGACCTGGAGAAGGAGTCGTGACGTGCAGGAAACCATTACACCACCACTCGGGCCGTGCTCTCTGGCTGTTGCCGCCACCCCCGCCCTTGCCTCCGGTGAGTTCAGGGCGGCTAAGTTTGGGGTGTGTCCCTTTTTGATGGGGCAGGGGGAAACCCAGGTTGGGTTGGAGACGGGCGGAGGGGAGGAAATCCTAGGAGCGTGACCGTTGAGGATGGAGTGAGCCGTCGGGTGTGACCGTTGTGAGGAAGAGGGTTGGAGAAAAGGACTCCACCGCTGAGGCGGGGTGGGGGAATCCTCTGGGTGGCAACTGGGAGTTGGGGGACACTGGAGGAAAGATATGTTCGAAGTTGGGGGGTTAGGAGGGCCAGAGGCCAGGGGTGTGGCCAGTAGAGAGTAGAGGCTGGAGGCCGAGGGGAGAACCTTCCTTCTTCCCCGTTTGATGTCGTTTACTGAGAGGCTGGGACGTGTCCAACTGGCAAGAGGGAAAAGGGGTTCCCCCAAAGCTTTGCTCATTAATGGACAAAGCTCGCCGGTCCTCCGTAAATCGAGGTTGAGACACCACTCCCCCACCTCGTAATGGAGAAACATATCCCTAAAATCTTGACCACCTGGGGAAAGAAGAGGAATTCCTGACATTGGAGGAAGGGAAGAGAAACCTCCAGAATTGACCCGATGTGAGACAGCGGGAAGCAAGTGGGAGTAAATCTCAACCCGGAATTTTTTCTTTCTTATCTTAGCAGGAATGGTCTGGTTTGAGAAAGATTGTAGATTAAGACAGAGGTAAAGAAACTGGAACTTCCTGTTATTCCATAGTCTTTCAATCTGAAGAATTGATTCATGCAGTTTCCAGAGCTCTCTTCTATTTGGGGGGTGGGGAGTAGGCTTTTAATGAACTCACTTGGGTACTTCATTACGAAGCAGTGTGAATAAGGTGTGAATGCGTCCTTCATTAAACTTTGACTTTTGAAAAGAAATGTTTTGTTTTAAATCCCGAACACTGTTATAATCATTGTGGTTTAAAAAAGAAAGTAAACACAATAAGCTTAGAAAAAGCAGAATGACAAAGAAGGTGGTCTCAGTGAGGAGCAATTTAAATTATTAATTACCTTCCTGGTATACTTCCATTGCTTAGCCTCAGGATACACTTACAAAGTTATAATAGAAAGCAGCAGATGAAGGAGATGCAGCTGAACAAGAAAACGTGTCCTAACACATTCCAGTGATGACTAAGCGTGGTGGTAAGGTGAGAACTGCTTGCAGGTATCTTAACAGTTTAAACTCCCAAAGAAGCAGAAAGCATAGTGTGTTTTGCAGATAGCTTCACTGAAAGTTGAGTGGTCAAATTAGTATAAAGCTAACATTCTGTGACTTAAGAGACTCAAGAAAGTCCAGTTCGTCCATCTTTTTTCTTCTTCTTTAAACAGATCTATATCTTAAAAAATACTAAGTTTTAGGCAAAGTTTTGAACCAAGCTGAACAAGGAACGAATCAGATAGGACATGTCTCCTTTCTTCCTTCTTTCTTCCCTTCCAGGTTTATGTTTTCTAGAGTTTCAGTTAAGAATTGGATGTAAAACTTTTGAGCTTCGTTCCTACATCATAATGTTAATAAATTACTTTGTAGTCATTTTTAGATGACATTTTACAGATTTGTCTCTTGTAATTAGTTGTCTGTTGTAATTTCTTGTGCTTTATCGATACCTGACGATGCTGCTGTCTTTGCATTATGTTGAAATACCTGATTAGCACTTCTCACCCTTGTAATGAAAGATTGTTAGAATGACCTTTTTGCTTCATAATTTGATTAACTCTGTTGAGTTTTTCTCTATAAGCACCAACTGGGGTAAAGCCCAACTTTATGTGGAGAGGGAATTTAGTGACCTCATCAGCTCTAATTTAGCTGCCATTTCCCAGAGAGCCATTTGAAATTAAGACCCTATTTTTTTCTGGCCGTATTCTCTGTAGGGGCACTGGAAGGAGAGAGGAATGGTTGAGAAGGGACTTTCACAGCCTATATTTAGTAGAAACTAGGTTATGTTAAATCTCGATGTATAACCCTGTACACGGAGGCCTTTTGTGAAATGCAGTGACATCATACTCTGGGCTAAGAAAGTAAGAGGATTGTGCTTTGATTGTGGCAGCTTCTTTTAAAAAAAAAAAAACAAAAAACAAAAAAAACAGTGTCCCTAGGTCATACCTCAAGTCCTCAGAACATCCAGTGACTTGTCTAGTTTGATCTAGTAAAAAGGTAGTGTGATGGCTTGGCTTTGCCCTGGGGCTCTCCTGAGGAACAAATCCACTCCTCCCAACTCAGGAGGAACTTGATTTTTTGAGGCTCTTCAGCAAACACTTGATTTGTTCTCTATTTTGAGCTCTATTTTGGCTGCTTTGTCTTTGGCTTCTAAAGCAGACAACAGTTTTTACCATCGAATGTTTTGGAGAATCTGGCTATGTTCATCTCTGGCATGTGATTAAGCATAGCTCATTTTAAAATACGCAGTTTTTTTTTTAGGAGAAATTCACATAACGTAAAATTAACCATTTTAAAGTGGTAGTTCGGTGGCATTTAGTACCTACACAGTGTTGTGCAAGCCCTGCCTCTTCTCATTTGTTTTTGTTTAGGCTATTTTTATTTTTTGGAGTTTCTTTTGGCTTAAGGCAGGAACTGACTTGATAAAATGTTTCTCTGCCAATATGTGCAAGGGATATTTCATTACTGTTGTGTAGGACAGTGTGAGCTAAGAGAGTGATGTTTCTCCTTTCCCTTTAAAAGCAGGAATTTTTAATTTAGGATCTAAGATTATGTACTTGATTCTCTCCTCTTCCCTGAAATTTTGTGGGTAGGTACATTATTCTCTAGTTAAGAACACTAAGTGCTCACAATGAATAGGACAGATCTATTCCTCAGTGATGAAATTTGTTAGGGGAGGGAATGAAATGTGTGGGTCACTAATGAAGGATTTAAAACTAGGTTAATTATATATATATATATACATATATTTATGTATGTATGTATGTAATTATATATATATATATACACATACACACTTTAAAATTATAATTGATTTACAATCTTGTGTTAGTTTCTCGTGTTCAGCAAAGTGATTCAGTTTCTGTATATATATTCTTTTCCAGATTCTTTTCCATTATAATTTATTACAAGATATTGAATATAGTTCCCTGTGCCCTACAGTAGGACCTTGTTGTTTATCTGTTGTATGTATAGTAGTTTGTATCTGCTAATGCCAAACCCCTGATTTATTCCTCCGCCTCCTTTCCCCTTTGGTAACCATAAATTTGTTTTCTATGTAAGACTAGGTTCATTGAATGTTTAAAAGATTGTGTTGAAAACTTCTGTTAAGAATTTGATATGTGTGAATTTGATATGTGTGTTTGTGTATGAGAGCTTTAGAAAACAGAACGATTTGGGGGCCCTTTTTCAAAGAAACAGTGAAAAATTCCAAGCAGATTTTGTTTTTAAATCTTAAGCAAGTTTTAAGTTTTGATGATCCCAAAGGATTTGGAATGCATAATAACATCCTAGATAGATCGTAATGGCCTTGAGCTGTGGCCCTCTGGTCAGACTGTCGTAATCATTTCTGTATCCTGGGTTTCCTCTTTGTATATGTAAGTTCTTAGATGGTAACTGCAGATTTATTCCAGGCCTTTTATGCGAAGGATTCCTTTCTTCAGTTTGCCCACTTCACATTTAGTTTACATTGTGAATGGATTAAATGATTATAACATTCTTCAAATTCTTGCTAGAAAGGCATTATGAACATATTACATAAGGCAAGCCTCTGTTACAGGTTAACCTTTAATTATAACAAATACTATCAAAACAGAAATTTCTGTATTCTATAATGATTTGTGTGAGCTCTAGCTCACTTCTTTTAACAAGGTAATTCAGCAAAATGCTGGTACAACCTAAACCAGTATTGTATAGAGATCAAGACTGTAAACATTAAGTCGCTGCTTGGAAACATGGCAGTCTGATATCTCCTAAATTGTCCAAGAGGTGCATTTTAGAGATCAAATTTGAGCCAAGCTCTTTTCGTCATTTTATGTTTTTCTGGCTCTGTTTTTCTTTTCTTTCGTTACACTGAAGGAAAGTGCTTACGTCTTTTCTCTCAGATCCATATTTACTGTTGCTTGTCAAGGTGTTATCACTCAAATTTGCCAAGTACGTTATCACTCATGTTGTTTTGACCAGATGGTAATGAGCAGGTGCCAGGGTGTCTGACCTAAATTTGGTAATAAGTATTGTTAATGATAATGGAGTGGTAAGGAAGAAGGTACTAATTTTTGAGTGCAGACAGAATATTACTAAAATTTTAGTAGTTTTAAAGAAGTGAAGTACATTGGACAGAGTCGTAAGAGTTTCTCAAGTCAGAAAATATTATCTCATTATTCGGGGAGAAGTGTGACCAGTCAGTGCTGTTTTTGTTTTACCAGTGGAGCTTATGTCAGCTAGATTAATTCTGGAAGTTGGAACAGAAAAGTTAAGGCTGGGATCCATGTTCTTTTAAGTTTTAGCTCCCTTCCTTTTCCTAATCCTTTCCCCTGATTCTCTTTTGTACTCAGTGTGACTGAACAAATATCTTAGTTTTTGCCTTGTTTTTAACTATAAGCAGATATTATTTTCTTTGGGAATACTTTTGAGGTAAGTGTAGATTGTTGAAAACATGAAAAATGTAATTAAAAAAAATCCATGCGTGAGGCATATTTGCCTCTCTAGGTGTTTGTCATGAAAGAATATTGTCCTCCTAATTTAGGCTTTTTTATGTTTTCTGAAAGAGATTCTTTTTATTGGTAGTTGCATGTAATGGTGAATAGATTTGCAGAATTCTTTTCTCTTTCAATTTTACTCTGCTTCAAAATACATGTTTTTGGGTGACTCCATTTTGAGTCAGGGAAGTAAATCAGATTTCCCTTAATGGAGAGTAATAGGAAGATCTTTCAAAACAAACTTTTCCTTATCTTAAATATTAGAGTGACTAACAGAAAATGCATTTACAAAAAAATATAGCTTTATGTCTTGGAGACTCTGAGGAGATAATTGTGGATAAAATCATAAAGCCATGATAGTTTCAGATTATCATTCTATTCCATTAGAACTTTGGGTTTTGCTACAATTAGCTTTTTGAGGTAAGAGTTACATTTTTAATTATCTTTGCGTCCCTTGGGACACCAATGATGGTGGTAAGGATGAAGATACTCATTTTTGAATACTGAAATTCTTACATGTAAATGTTCTTAAAATTGTTTGAATGCCTTGCTGGACATAAATAACTTGGTTAAAGGAATTCCTTTCTCTTGCTGTAGGTGCACATTAAAGATCTGAAACCATGACTGACTCCAAGTACTTTACAACCAATAAAAAAGGTAAGTATGAGAACCTGAGCAAAGCCTTTTTTGAAGATTCTTCAAAAGTCATGGTGTAAGATTGTTTCAAGTAGAATGTTTCTGACCTCCTCAGACATGCATGTTATGGACCCTTTCATTGGGGATCTGCTACTTTTACAGAAAAAATGTATTGAGTAAATTGTTAAAGTGTGAGTTTTTAAAGATAGAGTTATGATGCACACCATTTTGACTAGAAGGTTTTAGTGAAAGGAAGAGATCTAAGATTGATTCACTGAACATTGATAGATCTGAAGAGGGTAAAAGAGAAAGAAGCACATTTATTCTCTTTCAATTTTTTTATTTGGAAATAAACATTTTATAACAAGGAGTGCTATTAAAGCAATATGGATATGTAAAAAGTAAAAATGAAAGCTCTCTCCCTTGCAGTTCCATTTCCTGAGGACAGCTCGGTTTGTACCCCCAGTCTTTTCTATGCATATAATAATACATATAATTTAAAAATTTTTGTATCTTAATAAAAAAGAGATCATGTAAAACAATGCATGGAAACTTGATATTTTCATATCCCTCTACACGTGCATTGTTCTTCGTGACCTCTTTTTTGTTAAAGGTAAAAATGGTGTGATGCGCTGAGAACACACCATGATTTATGAATTATGGCTGCCAAAACGTACAACCTCAGTGTGATCATGAGAGAACACCTACTACAGACCCAAACTGAGGGCATTTATAAAATAACTGGCATGTACTTTAAAAAATGTCATTATTGTGAAGATAAAGGCTGATTAACTGTTTCAAATTAAAGGAGACTAAAGAGACAGTAAATGCAATGCATGATCCTAAATTGGGCATGAGGGTAAAATTGCTATGAAAGACATTATCGAGATCTTTGTGTAAAGTCTGTGGATTTGATAATGCTGAATTTCCTGATTTCCATCATTGTGTTATGGTTATATAACAATTCCTTCTTCTTAGAAATTATACACTGACATCTTTAGAGCTAATGAGACATGATGTGTACAGTTTAACTTTTTTTAAGTTTTTTTATTGAGTTATAGTCATTTTACAATGTTGTGTCAAATTCCAGTGTAGAGCACAAATTTTCAGTTATACATGAACATACATATATTCATTGTCACTTTTTTTTTCGCTGTGAGCTACCACAAGATCTTTTATATATTTTCCTGTATAATCTTGTTTATCTGTTCTACATATGCCTGTCAGTATCTACAAATTTTGAACTCCCAGTCTGTCCTTTTCCACCCCCTGCCCCCTTGGCAACCACAAGTTTGTATTCTATGTCTATGGGTCTGTTTCTGTTTTGTATTTATGTTTTTGTGTGTGTGTGTTTTTTTTACAGTTTAACTATTAAATTAATAAAAAAGTATAAATACCTAAAAAGTATGATAAAACAAATGTGGCATAATGTTAGCAGTTGGGGAATTTTGCAACTTTTCTTTAAGATTAAAATGATTTTAATACAGCATTGTAAACTGACTTTACTTAAATAAAATTTTTTTATAAATACTACCATGATGCACATAAAAAAAAGAAGATTAAAATGATTTCGAAAAGAAAAAAAAAAACGTAGGAGGGCACACAGAGTGGCCTGGAGCACTAGAACATTTTCTGGGAGGCACAGGCATATCTGTCCTTTGTGTCATTTGGAGTTATTTAAGGGTGAACAAGCTCTTCTGTCACAGTACAGAAAACACCATAGTGAGTTGCTTGATTGTATCAGCTACTAGCCTGTGGCCTTCAGCCTTGCCTGCATCTTGCCCCAGTGAAGTCTGAAACAATACAGATATCCTGATTTCTTTGGTGTGGGATATGATCTAGGTGTGGGGATTTTTTAAAGCTCCCCAGATTTTTCTAATTTGTAGCCGAGATTGAAAACTATTGCTGGCTGCTAGCAAAGCTTGGTAGATTTGATTAAGGGGAGGAGGAGGGGAAAAGAATAATTTAATAAAGCTGTAGTATGTATGAGATACCTTGCCTCGCTTAGTGCCCCACCTTGGGTCCACACAACTTCCGATTTTTATTACTTACACCTTACAAAAGCCATTTAGTCCCTTGTCATTCGTTTTCAGCTCTTTTTTTCTGATTCTCATATCATTCTGAAATGCATTTATTTCTTCTGTTAACATTTTGTGTGCTTTGATGACCAAGATGTTGTCTACAGTGACATGAAAAGATATGATTAGAAACTAACATAACTCTTCAAACCTTCTCTTGTAATGGTTCCTGGTAACCTTTTTTATTCAGGGATTTGTAAAAGTTTGAGACTTATAGATGAATCACAGCTGGATAAATACCACATTTTTGAAAATGGGTAGACTGTGTTCCTTTTATTTCCTGTAACACCCACCAGAACTGTCACTGGAATATATTCTTTAAATTTATGCTACTGGAGTCAGAATAATTCCAGTTACATCCTGTTTTGATTCTTCAACTTCTGCTGCTCTTCACGATTCAGATTTTCTGAAACCCTGCTGCTTGTCCTTTACTATTCCCAGAAGTAAATGACGGGAATCCTAAGAGCTGGATTTGGCAGCAGAGGACTTGGCGAAAAGGAGAATGACTCTAAAGGGTCCAGCTTTTCTGGCTGTGCTATTTTTGTGGCTGTCAAATAAAACAAATTTTTCTAACAATTTGTTTGCTTTGTTGGCAGTGGATATTGATATAATAAACTTTTTTAGTGCTCAACTTCTGTATTTCTTAACCAGTTTCATCCTTCCCATTTTGAAGCTTCAGCAGATCACATAGTTTGCTGTCCCCACTATTTCTATGCTGGTGAATGAGGTTAAAATGAACTTCAGGAATAGTCAAAAAGGTGAAAGAAAATAAGGCAGTACTCTAGATGGAAGGTTGAAGTGTGTTGAGTAGTCAACGTCTTTTTCATGATCTTATGGTATATTTTCTTCTTTCTTTTGAAAACCAGTTGAGGGTTGTTACCTTCTCTCTTACTGCAGTTGCAGATTCCTGAAGGTAGGTGAGCCCTGGCCTTAAAATAGTGGTGACAGTTCTAGCATTTCAGTGTCGGGTCTGAGCAGTCAGTCATTTAAGATTGTACCTTTAGAAATGACTGGTTTGTACCATTCTTGCAGCTTCAGGATTATTATTTCTTTTGTTAGATTGACTGGACAGTTTGGGGCCTTAAAGCCCATTAACATCTTAAAGTACTAATTAGAGCTATGATTCATAACCCTAGTTGTACATTAGAATCACTTAGGGAAACTTTTAAAAAAAAATAGAAACTTAGGAGATCTACTCCATGACATTTTGATTCGTTTGGTCCAGAGTGGAACCTGAGCATTGGTATTTGTAAATACTTCCCAGGAGCCAGTGTGTAGCTGTGGTTGAGAACCTCTGGATTCAGGAATTGAGAGACGTAGTTCTAAGGCCAGCTGTGTCCCTCACCCACTCCGTGACCTTAGTTCTTTGTAGAGTTGAGAGTAGGTGAATGAGGAGTCTTTTCTGGTTTGAAAACATTGATTGGTGAACCTGTCCCCTGCTTACATTTATTTTTTCCCCAGGACTTTGAAATTCTGATGGGAGATCATCCCTCAGACGCCATTCTCTCTCCATTATAGTAAGATATCATGAGATTTGCTTTTTCCCACTTCTGTGCTTCCTAAGATCTGGCTTGCACCTTCCTTTCCAGTCATAACCTAAAAGATGGCATCCTTATCTGTGAGTCAGTTAATATTCTAGGGATTTGAATTGGACCTATCCTATAATTTTTAAATAATCTTATTTCAGTTGCAGCCCTGCCTCTGGTCAGCTGTTGTGGTGTTACTACATAGTGCAGTATTCTGCTCCTCTGGTCTTGGGACCTCACCTATTTGTTCTCTTCTAGGAGAAATCTTTGAATTAAAGGCTGAGCTCAACAATGAGAAGAAAGAAAAGAGGAAGGAGGCTGTGAAGAAAGTGATTGCTGCTATGACTGTGGGGAAGGATGTTAGGTAAGGGTAATCTCTCCTGCCTTGCTCACTTTAGACCCATAGTATGGCTTTTACTGCTCTTCATTTAAAGTTATTACAATCAGAACATATAAGAGTGAGTTTTTCCCACTGAAAACATCATCAGGAAACGTAGTTGTTTTTATATTAACTCTGTGACCAAGTGGTTTTTGTTTGTTTTTTTAGAGTGAGACCAGTTTGATTTCACTTGCATACAGATCTAGCATAAAACCTCTGAGAGCTGACGCAGTTACAGATCTGTTGCTGAGGTAGTTTTACAAGATGATAAAAATATACTGAAAAGCAGAAGCTCATATGTACTTTTATTGGCTCAAGCCAGTGCCCTCAACTTTACAACTCTACATTCATTTGCTGAATTCAAAATTGAAAACCAATGTTAACAGAATCCAATTGGTCTTTTTTCTCCCCCTTTTTTTCCTATAATATAGCAAGACCATTTGGAAATAAGTAAGGGTTGTCTGCAGGCCTCTGAGGATTCCTATGATCCTTTCATGGGGTCCATGAAGTCAAGCTATTCTTGTCATAATACTTAGATGCTATTTGCTTTTTTCACTGTGTTGACAGTTGCATGGCTCATGCCTTAGTGTGAATTAAGGCAGTGGTGCCAAACTGTAACACTGCGTAGTCACTGTGTTCTTCACCACCATGTACTTGCAGGAAGAAAGGGTGGTTTCACTTAGGACTGTCCCTCATGAAGCATTAAAAATTTATTTTATTAAACCTTGAATCTTGAGTTCAGGTCTTTTTAATATTCTGTTGCGGTGAGACAGGAATTATGCATAAAGCCCTTTGCTTCATAGCAAAGCTGTGATGGTTGACTTGAAAATGAGCCCTTGCACGATTGACTTGGAAACACCATTTTTATGAGAAAGAATGGTTGACAGACAAATCATATTTAATCATACTTCAATATTTGGGAGACATTTTATCAAAAATGAAAAAAGAGAACCTGTCACTTCAAGGGAAAAAATTTGACAGGTGAATTTTGACTTTAAAGTAGAAATTAGGGTGTTGGAGAACTTGTAAGCACATTTGGTTCCTAACTTGTTTTGTGACCATCTATCTCAGAGGTCCACAGAGTTTTTCTGTAAAGGGTAAGATAGTAAATACTTTGGATTTAGTAGGCTAAGAGGCAAACAATGGAGGTTATTATGTAGGTAATTATATAACAAGAGAGAAAACAATTTTCCACAAATTATTTTGCTGACAAAAATTCAAAATACAGTATTTTTTTGTACTATAGGTCTACGAATGAGAAGATTGGGATTCTTTTGGGGGGGGTAACATTTTGCTTAATTGAGGTTCAGAGTGTTCTGTATCGTCAAATCAGTTGTAAATGTTCATCTGTATAAACACCACTTTTAACTCACAGCTCATACAAATGTAGGTGGTGAGCTGAATTTGGCCCACAGGCTGTGGTTTGCCTCCTGATGATCTGTCTAGTCACCTAAGGGCTGTTTTTGCCAAAGAATAAATCTAGATGGAGAGCATTCATACAGATGAACTGGTAAAAGTCAGCACATCTCAATGTTGGGACCTTTGTGTTCTTACCGAGCTTATTTCTATATCCTACAGAGAAGTTAGAACTCTGAATTTCCTTTTGCCTTTGGTAAATACTACTTGTTAATCTGTTCATTGCCGATAATTTGTTTTGTGCCTAGCACTATACCACGTGCCATAATTTAAACAAAAGGTTAGTACATATTTTCTAGCCTTCCTAGCACTTGGTTGAAAAGACCCAAAATTTGAAAAGTTATGGAATAATACAATTATGTAATTAGGTACAAGAGTGTGTATATTAAAGGTAATAACTATTCCACAAAAGAGAGATCCATGTAAATAAGAAGAGTTGAAGAACCCTGCTTAGAGAAGATGAGATTTGTGCTGTGCCTAGACAGACAGTTCAGGAAACAGGAAATTTAGATAAGCTCTTTGTAGGTTATTGTATTTCAGTCTCTCCTGCAAGAACCTCAAGTTCAGGGCTATCCAATAGAAATACACTGCAAGCCACATATGTACTTTTAAATTTTCTAGGAGCTACATTTAAAAAGTAAAAAACCAGTAAAATTAATTTATAATGACAGTAAGTAATACATTTTATTTAATTCAGTATGTCCAAAATAGTTTCATGTCAGCAAGAAATTAATATAAAACCTGTTAATGAGATATTTTACATTACATTTTCATACTGGGTCTTCAAAATCCAGTGTTTGTTTTACATATATATCACATCTTAGCTTGGACCAGCCACATTGTAAATGTTCACTTAGTAGATTGTGTGACTAGTTGCTACCATATTGGAAAGTTCATGTTTCTGGCTTTGTGGGTTGGTACTTAACAGTTTTGTTTTTTTTTTTGACTATTCTTATCAAGACCTTCTTGATCTTGTGTCAGCTGTTGGAATTAAATTATTTAGGATCTTAAATTTACTATTGATTAATGTTTCACATTTATTTGCTGATTTTACTGTTTTACACATGAGCTATTCCCAAAAGAAATAGAAAGAACACTCATTTTTGGAGAGGGTTTATAGTGTTAAGTATCTACATGGGCATGAAACTATAGTAGGTACCTACATGCAAGTTAAATAGTTTGCCTTCCAGCGCAGATGTCATTGGTTCATTGGAGATATGGTGGATTATTTAACTTTGCAGCCCATCTTCCTTTTTGCAAATCATTTTATTTCTGTATATAGGCATACCTTGGAGATACTGAAGATTCAGTTCCAGCCCACTGCAATAAAACAGATATTGCAATAAAGCGAGTACATGAATTTTTTGGTTTCCCAGTGCATGTAAAAGTTATGTTTATACTGTAGTCTATTAAGTGTGCAGTAGCATTATGAATTTTAAAAAGTGTGTACCTTAATTAAAAAATACTTTATTGCTGAAAAATAGTAACCATCATCTGACAATGCATTGTTACCACAAACCTTCAATTTGTAATAAATACTTTATCTGAGAAGCACAGTACAGCAAAGCACAATAAAATGAGGTATGCCCATATTGTTTCTGTGAGTGTGGGAGCTATACCATGTGACCAGTTGCTTCAGTCATTTTCTTACGTTTCTGTAAAACAATGCTGACATATGCTGTTCTTTCTTCTATACTAGTAGCAAGGTATTTAGAAGTATGTAAAATTTATCAGGTACTTTGATAAAACCTTAGAGAGAAGGGTAATTGCTAATTTTCCATAAAATTATGGTTAATCTGTGTTTTAAAAGTACAGCTTATACATTAAAATCTGACAAGCTCAACTCTTCCAAGCTACTTCATGAATGGAAACATTAATTTCTTTCCTTTGGCTTTACAGGAGAATGGTAAATGATGAAATGACTTGAAATTGGGAAAAATATAAACTCCTTTTATATTTGAGTACACTCCAATTTTCATTTGTCTGAATGTGTAATGTTAAAAATATATTCATAAACTCCACTAAAAGGGAATGAAGACATTTTAGAGAAATGACTGATTTCAGTTGTGAGATTAGAAATGTACAGAATGAGCCTGGATGGAGCATCTTGTCCTACGAGGAAGCAAGGAAGCTATTGAAGATACGGAGTCACAGCACAGGGACTCAGGAGCTAACTAAGTAAATTTCCACTGGTCAGGGATGGAATAATATGCATATTAAAAGTGTAACAACTGTAGTGCTTTGAAACTGCAAAGAACTGATATAAAGAATTACTGTTAATTTTTTTGTGTGATATAGTGATTAAAAAAAAGATTCCTAAATCTATACACTAGGATTTTATATACGAAATGCTATGTCTAGGATTTGTTTTAAAATTGTTTAGAGCAACAAGATGGGGTAGGGACTGGGGGAGGGAGAGCAGTTTGAGGTCAAATACAAAACAAGATTGGGCATATGTCAGTATTTGTTTGCAGCTGAGTGATAGATAAATCGGGTTCATTATACTACTCTCTCTACTTTGAAAATTGTCATAGTAAAAAGTTTTTTAAAAATAGATTTTTAGACATCTTCTTGAGACCATTACTATAATTTCTTTAGTAATTCATTTCTGTGATAATTATTACCACTGTAGGGACATTTGTCCTTGCATCAGATCACTTTGTAAATTAAGGCCGTTTCTCTGTGTTCTATCCAGCAGCTTGGCACCAACATCTGTTCACTTTCCCTTTCTCTTTTCTCAGCTCTCTCTTTCCAGATGTAGTGAACTGTATGCAAACTGACAACCTGGAACTAAAGAAGCTCGTGTATCTCTACTTGATGAACTATGCCAAGAGTCAGCCAGACATGGCCATCATGGCCGTCAACAGCTTTGTGAAGGTAACTTTTTCCCAGGGACTCATGAGCAATCTATTCTACCTCAGGTAACGTTTTCAGAAGCGTCTCTTGATATAGTTTGTGTCCGCATTGCAAATAAGCAACCTCTGTTCCACAAGAGGACCTCTAGAGAAGTACTGGCAGTGAGTAGGGAGGTTCATGTTTCAAGCATTCTGTATGCCAGTGTTTGTCATCCAGTTCGGGCCATGTGGTGAGCCTTCTGTCAGGTGGGCTCAGTGCATCCTTGCCAGATGAGAGAAGAAAACCAGGTGAAACCTCCCTCTTTTACCTTCCAAGGCTGACAGAGGTTGGGCATATCATTGTAGTATCAGTAACCTGGGGCTTTACCTGTTGTATCTTTGTAGAAATTACGCTTATGGGTTAGAAGTAGTGGAAACCCCAGAAGCTACTGCTTCATTTTGTTTCATTTAATAGGACTTAACAACATTAGATTCTTTTTTATTTGGAAATTTTCAAATATATTCAGGTAGTGGGAATAGTACAATAAAGTCCTAAATCTTATAGTTTTAATGGTTAACAACTCATGACCAGTCTTGTCTAACTTATGCTTTCCATGCATACGTTCCTGACCACTGCCTCCTGGATAATTTTAAAGCAAATTGCAAACATCTTTAGGGTGAAAACTAAATCATTTTATCCTTACATTTGTCAGAATAAGATCTCTCTTTTAGACATACCTACAAAACCATTGTTGCATCTTTAAAAACTGACAATTAAAGATTAATATTAATATAAATCTTTAAAGATTAATATTAATATAAATCTTTAAAGATTAATATTAATATTATTGAATATCCAGTCAAATTTATCCTATCATTAGATTTGATGAACATAATAATGAGGTTGTTCTTACTAATTTTTTTTTAACTTCTTGTTTTCTTTCCTCTGGAATTTAGTCTGCATTAAAAACAAAAATCAGACATTTCTGAAATTAGCTTTTGTTAAACTGTTTTGAAGAATAAACAGCATGCTTTCTTCCTTCTCATGGAAGTTTTGTTCTTTTTCTGTATTTAGCTACAGTGTGCAGATTCAGACCGTAACATTTCATTCTTTCTGTCTGGTGATTCATAGATGGATGATATCATTGGAAGGAATTTAGTTTACATTTTGAGGAAGTTAGCATGTGCATAGGAAAGGAGAATGTATGTTAATCAGGATCTCAGAGGGCCCTCTCTGCTGCTTCACTCAAGGAACTTAGGTTGGGCTCAAACCAGCTCTGGATTCTCCTTTGCTTTCTTGGCTGTGGGCCCCAGAAATCCAGTCCTCATTTCTGCCTACTCGGTATTTGTGGAGTGGGACACGTCTTTCCAATTTCTGATTTCTTCCTACACCAGAATACAAACCGAAAGACTTTCTGTTTTTAGGGCAGGTTCACTAATTGCCATGGGGATGGTAACACCAGCTATCTGAGCTTCTGCCCAGCTCTGGAATGAATCCTACAGGGCACTTCTTCATTGTATGTATGAAACACAATGTGTAAATAAATTCCTAAGCTGAACTCTTAAATAGGCAGCTAAGATTTGAATGTAGGAAAGGCATAGTATGGGAGTTCGGGTTCTGATGTAGAATGTAACTGGAGGCCTGCATTAATTATTCTTTTGTGGCTTCTGTAAACCAGACTGTTTAGTCTTAGTCACCATGTACACCTATAGTTGTCAGTGATTGTTTTCTGTAGGACTGTGAAGATCCCAATCCTCTGATTCGGGCCTTGGCAGTCAGAACCATGGGGTGCATCCGGGTGGACAAGATAACAGAGTATCTCTGTGAGCCCCTCCGCAAGTGCTTAAAGGATGAAGATCCCTATGTCCGGAAGACAGCGGCCGTCTGCGTGGCAAAGCTCCATGACATCAATGCCCAAATGGTGGAAGATCAGGGCTTTCTGGATTCTCTGCGGGATCTCATAGCAGATTCAAATCCAATGGTAATGTGCTTTTGCTTTTATAAAGAGAACAGTATTTAAAAAGAGTCTTTTTTAAAGAGCTTGTTTAAAATAAATCTTCAGGACGTTGATCCATAAGTTAGCTGTGTGATTTCTGTGTGTCCCACAGATTGTCTCACACCCTACTGAGCTGAAAACCAAATACTAAAATACAAGGGTCTTTTTTAAAAAATTGAAATATAGCTGATTTATAATATTGTGTTAGTTTCAAATGTATAGCTAAGTAATTCAGTTTTTTATATATATATTTCATATTATTTTCCATTATAGGTTATTATAAGATATTGAATGTTGTTTGCTGTGTTATACAGTAAATCCTTGTTGCTTATCTGTTTCATGTACAGTAGTTTGTATCTGTTAATCCCATACTCCTAATTTATCCGTCCCTGCCCCCTTCCCCCTTTTGGTAGCCGTAAGTTTGTTTTCTGTGTCTGTGAGTCTCTTTTTGCTTTGTATATAGATTCATTTGTATTATTTTTTAGATTCCACATGTAAATGATACAATATTTATCTTTCTCTGGCTTCGCTTAGTATGATGATCTCTAGGTCCATCCATGTTGCTGTAATTGGCAATATTTCATTCTTTCTTGCAGCTGAGTGTTGCTCCGTTGTGTATATATACAACATCTTAAACCACTCATCTGTTGATGGGCATTTCGGTTGTTTCCGTATCTTGGCAATAGTAAATAGTGCAGCTGTGAACATTGGGGTGCATGTATCTAATAAGATAAGGATCATAAAGCAAACGTTTGTGTCATACTTACCTATGTATTTGCTTAGAAACAAACCAGTTTCACAAATATCTTTGAGAAAACTTTTAAAGAAAATATAAGATCACTTAGTAGATTTGTGAGAGACTGTTTCAGGAATGTCTTATGTTTTATTGTATCTTTATTGCAGATTTTCCTAGAACAGGTGTCAGCATTAGAGATTAAATTGTTGGACTACTTCCTTCTAAACAGAAATTTTTTCTTACTCTTGTCAGGCTTCTCAGAAGCAAAAGTTGCCCCTAACATTGTTCAATGTCTTGCTAGCAAGGTACCCAGGGTGCAAAACTGAAGGAGGCATCCACTCTCTGGTGCCCACTCGACCTACACAAGCCTGAGAGTGGGATACCTTGATTGCCTGACTCTGTCCTGGCCTTATTTTACATACATTCAAATCACTTTTTAAGCTTTTCCTTCTTGTTGTTTTAGTGAAGAACCGGAAAGCGTGGACTAAGAGATAACCAGCACACATACACACATGCCTGCTTTGAATCTTGAACCCAGGCTTTTCATCTCAACTGTATGTCCTGTTTTTTGCCAAAAGTATTACAACTGTCTTTAGACCACTGATTTTCCTTTTATCAGACGGGTCAAGTGCAGCTGATAAGAAATGAGTGAGTGCAAGAATATCAAGTAATTTCCTCTAGTGGTGGAATGTAAGGTGCAGTAACTCAGACATCTGAGAAAGTCCTAAGGCCATAATGATGGACCTTCCTAATGTCATCAGGAAAAAGGAAATTTAAATTTACGTGCACTCTGTGTCAGGCACAGTGATAGATGCTTTTATGTACAGTGTTTCACATAGTTCTCACATCTGCTGAACTAGAGGGTATTCTGATAGAGGTTATTCCATGTTAGAGATCAAGAGATGTACACTCGGAGAGGCTGAAGAATAACCCCAGAGTCATACAGCTAGTGGTAATGTAGCCGGGATTCTAACCTAGTGCTCAGTCCCAGTACCCATACTGGTCACTCACTACCTTCATGGGTGTATATATACAACAGAATTAAATATATCTGTGCACACACACATTTAGAACTGTTTCATTTTCTCAGGATGGTTTAAATTTTGACCATATAAAAGCCTTAATTATCTGAGAACTGTTTTAAAAGGAAATCCTCTTACTCTGATGATGGGTATGAGTCCTGTTGTTCTTGAGCGGTAGTTCCACTTTTTCAGAAGTTGCTCCACATGGTGGCAGCACTGCACCAGCAAATATCAGAGCTTCTTGCAGTAGGAATGAATGCTTCCAGGGTTTTACCTTAGTAGTTTTCTTATAGCTCACTTTATTTAAAAAAATTTTTTCCATGTAACTTTTTTTTCTTGTAGCTCACTTTAGAAGGGCATCCTAGATGTGAAAGCACTAGAACATCTGGAGAAATGACCTTGAAATTGGAGGATAAAATATTGATAAAGATCTGACTACTCTTGGGGTTATGTTGACCTTCAGATTGACTCCTGGAACCTTGCTGCAAGTAATAGGACTTTATTATATTTTCATTTCCTGTCTTTTGACGGGGGGGGAATCTCACACACCCCATTTTCCTGCCGTTGTTTTACCATTTTATACTTTAGTTAAAACTGACTTTCAGGGAAATATTATTTGAAAAATATAAGAGTTTGAAGTAAAAAAATTCTCCCTGCTAAGTCCTAGCTTAACCTCCCTGAGTCTGTTTCCTCTTCTGTAGAATGAGAGATACCATCTTAGAGAGTTGTTAGGAGTAGTAACTGAGCTGTTGCATCAAAAGCACCTACTTAAGCGGCTCGGGGGGATTCGTGAGGTGATGGCCGCTGCTCCTGTAATTACGGAGTAGACGTTAGGCAGAGGTTGACATTATTGCTACCATGTGAGTTTAAAAGGTTCTGGTGCCTTTGATATCTGTACAAATTCATACAGTAAAATCTTTTCTGAGGGAATTAGAGCTAAACTCATTTTCAGATGCAGATGTTATTAGTCCGTTATTTTGAAAGTAAGCCTGTTTTCAGAAGGTGGAAGCACTTGGGAGCCAAAGGAGAATGTTCCCGTGATTTCTTCACAAATGTCAGAATTTTGAAAAATCTGTCTCACTAAATTTATATTTGCAAGAAAGATATACTTCTGGGTGATAGTGACTATTCTCTAGCTTTTCGCCTATACACTAGGATTTTCCCTCCTTACTACGGTTTTTATTTTTCCTCTCAGAGGCGCTTCAAGGTATTCCAGCTTCAGTTAATGTTTGCGCTAGAACCTGCCCCTCCAGACGCTCTTTTGACAGCCCTGCCACGTGTGCTTTGCTTTTTGTTTTTGAGCCCAGGTCTTCTAAGTGCTTTGGCTGTAGCCCCTTTCATCTTGTCTTCTAAGCCTTCTCAGTTCTGCTGTCATCACTCTGAGAGCTGCCCCCCAGGAATACCCCTCTTCCACTGTCTCTGCCAAAGCACAAACTACTGAATTAAAAAACAAAACAAAAAAAATACGTCTTCATTTGTTGAGGATTTTTCTGCACAAGCAGCATGTTCTCAGAACTTGGTCCAGTGTAGCCTTTAGCAAAGGTTCTAGTTAAGCTGCCAGCTTCTTCTAATTTGAACTTACTCTGGAAAGCTGTTTTATGAAAAATAACATTTTACTTCTCAGGAAAACTGTGAGTTTAACTGTGTGCTAGCCAGTGTGTAGAAGCGCGTGGAATTGATTATGGCAGTGGTTCTCAACTGGAGGCGATTTGACTTCCCAGGAGACATGTGGCAATGCCTGGAAACATTTTTGAATGTCACAGCTGATGGGAAGGGCACTATTGACATGTGGTAGGTAGAGTTCAGGGATACTTTAAACATCCTGCAATGCACGGGGAGCCGCCTGCAGCAGAGAATTATCCATCAGTCCCAAAACGTCAGTAGTGCTAAGGTTGTGAAAATTTGAGTGACTACTGTTTGGAGTCCTGGCTTGGCTGCTTACTAGAAAGGTGGCCTTGAGCAAGTTATTTAAAATGAGCTTTTCAGTTTCCTCATCTGTAAAAAGTAGAGATAATAATGCCTGTTTTACCAGATTGTTTTGAACATGAAGGAATAATTTATTTAAAAATTTTAGTAATGTCTGGCATAGAGTGAATACTTAATAGACTGCAGCTGTTCCCGAGGAGCAGCCCTAATATGATGTGCTTTCCAGTTAGTGTAGGGTTCGTTTAGCCCTTGGAAGATTGCATGGTGGTTTATTGTCATTCTGAGATGATGGATATTGAAAAACTGAAGTCTCTCTAGATCACTCTAAATTTGAGGAGGATTTTTGTCACAGTATATTTGTTGTCCTTGTGGCCTATGTTAAATTGTCTATTAATGACCTCACTTAATTTAGTAATTTATATGATTTCTGTTATTTCAAAACATACATTAATAAAGTTACAGAGTTAAAATATTATAGAGAAGTGAAATTAGAAATGCATAATGCTCTGGCCAGATGTCCATAAAGGAGTTCCAAAGCTGGTAGAACTGTAGGCATGTGTAAGAATGTCAGTATGTAGTAGGCCCCAGGTAAGAGTGATGTAGGAAGTCACATGCTCAGTCTGTGTCTGGATTCCCCAAGCAAGAAGTAATGTTATGTTTGGTACTACAAGATGAGCCGCTATTGATTTCTGCAGGAATAGAGTGTGAATAAGTGGAGTCATTGGAGGCTGCTTTGTTATAAGGACAACTTATAGCTGACTGGTTGATCTCTGCTTTTCTGTCTTTACTTACAGAGGAAGCAAATAGTTTTTGTTTTCCTTTATGATGAACTTTGCAAAAATCTTTTAATGTGTATTCTCACTTTAGATTTTAATTATTACCAGCTTTTATTTTATTAATTTACTAATAGAGTTTTTTTTTTAATCTCATTTTGGAGGTGACTTTTAGGAATATTAGGAATATAGGAAAGTTGCAAAGATGGTACAGAGAGTTCTCATACATCCTTCACTCAGTTTCACTTCACGTAGACATCTTACATAACCATGGTGCCTTTGTCAAAACTAAGAAATTAGCATTAGTACATTATTATAAAGTGAAGTACAGACTTTATTTCACCTGTTTCACCACAAATGTCCTTTTGCTATTCCAGTATTCAATCCAGCATACCAAATTGCATTTAATCACTTTTTTTTTTCTTTTAAAGAGTTGACTCACTCTGTATCAAAGTATCTCAAAAAGAAAAAAGTGCTTTTTAACTGTGAAATGGTATTTTCTTTTTCTCCAGTATTATAGCTTGGTGG